ATGGAGGCTCCAGGCGAGAATCAATCTTGGCTTCTGCAGATGAGGATCTGAGGCATGACTTTGCCTCTCGGAGGGAGGAGAGGAACGTCAAAAGGGATTAGATCCTGACAGTCTGACATGTCTACAGGTTTTATCTGGAGTTATTTTGTCATTGCCAATAATAGAGAGGAAGCTCCAGGGTGAAACATGACTGTGTGTACGTGAGGAAACATGCAGAGTCTCCACATTCGCCTCTTTGTGTGTTTTTCATGTGGGAGCGCCTGCAGAGCTTTCAGCAGATCTGTGGAAGAATCAGGGTTTCTGTGTTTCTATCAGGTTGGAGACGAGATCGTGGAGATTAACGGAGAACCGGCTCGAGGGATCTCCCACACACGAGCCATTGACCTGATCCAGGCTGGAGGAAACAAAGTGGTTCTGCTGCTGAGACCCGGAGCCGGCCTGGCTCAAGACGGCAGTAAGTGTGTTCACCTTCTTCACGGATTATTTTGACCCTGAGTGAAAAACCACAGAGAAGTTTGGAGAAACTTTATGACACTAATGTTGAACTTATAACAGCTCTTAGTTTACGATATTAGACTTTTTTAAATGAGCGCTGATGTTAAAACCATAAAAGAGTTTGTCTGAGTGAAAGAATCAGTGAGAGATGAAAGTTTGAAAGAAATAAAAGCAGCGAGAAGCTAAAACTGACGGGATAACAGGAACGTGCAGCTGTGAAACCAGAATTTAAATCATGACTATTAAACTTTTACAGAACATGAACCTGCTGAAAAACTAATGTAGTTATTGATCATCTTCTATGGAGGAGGACGAGGAACTTTGAGATTCAAACTCTGAGATGATCTGAGAAAAATGAGAATTCTACATTTAAACTCAGAGATTTGATGTTTTCTCAGGATTCCGGGATTAAGGACAGATTTCTTAGTTTAAAGACAGAATTCTGACTTTCTGTTTTGATTCTCAGAGTTTCAGGTTTAAAGTCAGAATTCAACAGAAAACAATAAAATCTAAATACACAAACAGGATTTCAGAAAAAACCTTTTCCTGTTGAGACTTCAGAGGCTCTGAGGATCTGATCGTGTCTCTTAAAGTCACAGTTTTTCATTTTCACATGTCAGCTTACGCACCGGTGAAAACCAGGTTTATTTCTTTATTTTATCCAGATTTTAATCGTCTTTGTACAGAGCAGGGCTCGCTGTCTTCATGCCAACTTAAGCTACTTATCTTTTGGCGAAAGCTTCTTCTTCTTCTTCTTCTTCTTCAAGTAAAGACATTCGTTTTTGACAATCAATCAAATTAGTCCTGTAAAATTTTATGGTATTAAAAGTAAATCAGGTTTTATCGGTGAGGCGTTTGATGTTTGTCTGCAGTAATAAAACAGAAGAAGAAGAAGTGGGTGTTTTCCTCCTCTTCCTCCTGGTGTTCGCTGGTTTACGAGGCGGGAACGGTAGTTAAACACATGTTTAATCCTCAGCTCCTCTGCTGATGTTTCGTTAATGATAATGACTTCGTTTGCTTGTAAACTGTGTTGGATTCCCGCCCATGTTGATGTGAGAATGCTCTGTCTTTATTGGGTGTTTTATTTATTCATTAAACCTCGAACCATCTGCTTACTTTTGACTCTTCTTCTTCTTCTTCTTCTTCTTCTTCTTCTTCTTCTTCTTCTTCTTCTTCTTCTTCTTCTTCTTCTTCTTCTTCTTCTTCTTCTTCTTCTTCTTCTTCTTCTTCTTCTTCTTCTTCTTCTTCTTCTTCTTCTCTTGCCTTCCCTGATGCAGGTAGTACATCTTCTTCTACTGTGTGCTACTACACTGAGCACCAACACTAACGTCTTCACTGCTTCTTAGTGGCCTCTTCTCTCTAACCTTGGTAATCCTTCACTTCCTCACATATCTAACTTTTCCTTCTTTTTCTCTCTGGATTTGAAGCTTCTGGAAACACCGTGACACAGATTTAGCCTCATAGTCGTGTAGTTTGGGATTTAATCTGATGATAATGAGCATTTCTGCTACAATCCCAAACCGTAATACTGTCATTGTCCTAATGGTGTTCTGTTGGAAAAACATCCTCGAACTCGTCATTAAAAAGAAGCAGCAGCTCAGTGATTTATGAGTTCGACATTCATCACCTCAAACTGAAGGATCTGCAGCCCAGAAACAGAACATTAAACTTTATGTTCACTCTCCTGTCACCCAGTTTGATTCGCCCGGTTTCTCAGGGTTATTTATTACAATCTCCATGTGGTTTATGTCCGGGCTAATTACAGGAAGAAGCACGGCGGAGGGAAGGTCCTCGTTAAAAACCAGCAGAACCAGACTCATTAGAGAAGAGAGAGCGGCCGTGAGCTGATGGGAGAGAGAGAGAGAGAGAGAGAGAGAGAGAGAGAGAGAGAGAGAGAGAGAGAGAGAGAGAGAGAGAGAGAGAGAGAGAGAGAGAGAGAGAGAGAGAGAGAGAGAGATGATGACAAACAGAGAGAAAAACAACAGATGATTGTCACATGAGCTCTGACATTATAACTGAAATATGAGTGATAATTCATTTTCATACTTTATTTCATTCACTTCATATTTAAAACCTTCAATACAAACAAGTCAAAATCTCAAACATGTGAATAAAAAGGAGCAGAAAGAAGAAAAACTCTTCTAGAGTCTGAACCTCTTTATATTCATCAACTAAACACAGAATAATAAAAATAAACCAGAGCTGCAGGACAACATGTTATTTTACGCTTCAGTATTTCTGATTTTCAAAAACAGGCAGAAAAGACCTTCATTCACATTTTATCACAAAACAAACAGACACAGACTCAGATGAACATATTTCCCTGTTTTTACTCGACATACTGACTTTTTTTAAAGATCAAATCTGATTTTATTTTCTTTAGTTTGTTTGTTCAGATTGTTCCACACACTGATTCCTCTCTCTGTAACACAGCGCTCCTTCTCTTTAGTTCTGAATCTGGTCAAATTTGGTAAAATTATCTTATGAGTTTTATACATAATCTGCAACATCCTGAAATCTACTAACTCACTGGATTTCAACAACTGTAATCTAACAAATAATGAGTCTGAAGGACCTCTGTTTCGACTTCGACTAATAATCTGTTTAATAGTGAGTGTAGGTCTAATAGATCCAGCATTAACAATAATATTGATCGAATAGTAAGAGTATTGATTAAAATAATGGTAATTTAATTCAAGTTGGTCCAAGACAGTAGACTGTTTTTATAAACTCCTCATCATGAGAAACAAAGAATTTAGTGACTGAGTGTTAAAATGAAGGTTTTCAGATGACAGGAGTTTTTCCTCGTCTTCTGACTCAAATAAACTCCTGAGGGCCGATCTATAAATTATTACAATAAAAGAATAATAACAACAACAAAAGGTCATTTATTTATCACTAATTTAAAGCCAAGTTACAAAGCACTTCACAGTTAACCGTTAAGGTTACAAAAAAGTTCATGTATAATAAACGAGGTAATTAAGAATTAAAATATGACAAAAAAACAACAAAACTCAATTAAACCGAACAGGACTGCAGAACTCTGGTCCCCTGGGTGTCTAAGGACCAGTCCGGGTCAAGAATGAAGGTTTCGGGCCCCCCCTTTGTGACCATTATTAGATAAGGCCCCCAGGCTCAGGGACGGATCATTAAAGTCATTAAAACTGGAGGGAGGGGAGTAATAACAAAAAGATTTAGTGTCATTCAGACGTAGACGATAGCTGTGAAAATCGATCCTGTGCCGACTCGAGATTCTCCGAGGAGAGAGAGCGTGAACGAGAGGAGACCCAGGACAGACCCCTGAGGAACCCCACAGGAGAGGAAATACGCTGTTGTTGATTTTGGTGCCCAGGAGACGTCAAACAACGTCCAACACAGATTTCAGAATAAGAATAAGAATAACTTTATTTAGAAACTCGCTGTTCTGATTATTTTCACTGATTCATGAGTCTTTAGGTCCTCACACACCGGGGCCGACGCAAATACAGAACGCAAAATTATTAAATATTCGGAGGCGAATTTTGACGCGCCTGACTGAACACATCAAGACCGATGTGATTTTCTGGGGGGAAAAAGACGCATCCCAGGGAAAGTCCCGCCTCCTTCACCTCTGATTGGCTAGAAAAGCTTAAAAAAACATCATCACACACTCAAGCCAAACGGTCAGCACTTATAGCCAATCAGAGGCGAAGGAGGGCGGGACCTTCCCTTACCAGTCTACAGCGTGCCGGGTGAAAGCGAGAAGACAAAAATGGAGTCAGAACAGCAGACTGAGTGTTTTCAGTTCTGATTAGACTCTAATGTTGAGATGTCTGTCTGTCATGATAGCATGTGCTGAGTCGGGTCAGAACCAGATAAGAACATGTAACCATGGTAACAACCGTTAGCTTACGTTAGCACAGATGAAAGTTCAAACAAAGACGTTTATCAAACTGTTAAAGCTCACAAACCATCGTCATCGGAGAAATCCGACACTATGACTCTCCACAAGTCGTCCTTCAGGTCGTTATCTTTGTAATGTTTGTGTCTTTGATCAAAAATCACTCTGTTCTCCGACACGGAAACAATCAGCCGGTCGGCCATGTTGGATATACCGGTGAATCTGATTGGTCAGAAGTGGACACACAGTCTGAGAAACTTTAGAAAAATCGACCGTGATCCGAAAAAATAAATGCCGAAATATCGCAGGACGGGAAAACGTCGCTGATGTGAACGCTTGTGTTGACAGGAAACGGGTTCGAAAAAATACTGACGTCTGAAATAATCACAAGAAAAAAACGCTCCCGGTGTGAAAGGAGCTGTATTCTGAAACATCAGAGAGGAGCTTTAACGACAGCTGGGCTGAAAAAACTCTCTTTTTAACCAGCTGTCCTAAAAGAGGATTTCCTGTCCCTGTGTTAAAGAGGCTCTCTGTGACCCTCAGATCTCATCTGTAAATGTCTTCAGACCACATTTCCAGAAGCTTTAAGTCGTCTGTGTGGAACATTGAATATTCATGTGCCGGGATGGCGTCCCCGTCTGAACTCTGTGTTTCTCCCACAGGTCAACAGGATCAAAAATTCATTTCACCTGCCAGCTACTCCGGAGAGGTGTTTTTCTCCGACACATCCTCCCCATCCTCTCCATATCCAACCGGGGCTTCCATCTTCGTTTCTCCTCCCTTCTCCAGCACTCTCAAACATTCCCGCAGCTGGAGCGCCCTTTCCCCACAAGGCCTCCAGCCCCGCGGCGGCGGCGGCGGCGGCCGGGGCTTGAGCTCGGTGGAGGAGATTGGCGAGTGGGCGGACAAGGAGGTAAAGAGGCCCACTCATGCCTCCCTCGAGCATTTGAACTTTTACAAGAGGACCAGACCCACAAGAGACTCCAGAGAGCTAAGCAGCCCAAAGAAACCAGGGGAGACTTTTCCTAAAGCCAAAGAGCAACAACAACACAGTCCCAAAAAGACGGAGAGTCCGGCACAGGACCAAGCACCGAGCAGGAGGAGACCGTCCCAGAAACAGGCAAACACGCGATCCACCAGCCCCAGGAAACCCGGACTACAGCAGGTACCCTCAACCCTGCAGCGCACAGACCAACAACAACAACAAGGACCTCCAAGGAGATCCAAAGACTCGTCCAGCCGAGAGAGTTTGGATCAGGATAAGAGAAACAGCAAAGGAGGGACAATCGAGATCAGACGACCCACTCAAGCGAGGGAGGGCGAGGGGAGGGCCGACAGAACAAGGTCTGTCCGGGAGCAAGTAAGTCCTCAAAGAAGGATGGTGGGGGACCGGAATCCTCCCAACGCCGTGAGACAAACGGAGAAAGGTACGAGTAAAGACATGAGGCAGAGAGACGCCAACGGGAGGAGCAGATCTACAGAGGACAGGAGCGCAAGGAGGGAGACCATGAGCAAGAGAGAGTCCCTGCTGTCCTTCAAAGACATGTTGACCAGGAAGGGCTCGGTGGTTTCGCCCAGAGGAACTGAAGACACGAACCTTTTCTCCAAAGACGCTGGTGTGAGGCAGGACTTTGTGGCCTCTGTAAACAGTTTTCCAGGGACCCCGCAGAGTCCAAAGGGACCTCTTAGCCCTGGCCCGTGGAAAGTGCCCAGCTCAGCCAAAATCCTCTCGGAGGCAGAAGTCTTTCGTGACCCTTTGTGATAAAATATTGAACCACCCAGACTCGAGCTGTGCCATGGAATATTTAAGAGCAGCACGCCTCAGCGGGTCGTTTTTTTCCGAGTTCACCCGTTAAAAAAAAACTGAGAAGTGCAAACCCCTGTGCCACTTTTACTACCTTTGGACCAGACCGGTCTTTTGGACCTGGTCTTTTTTGGGAGTCCTGTGACTTCTCCTGTGGCATGTAGCAGCTCCCCTCTGCCTTGTCCGCTGCTTCAGCAATCTTTGACCTGGGGGGGTAAGCATGTGCGGCATGCTCGGGGCCTTGCCAGAAAAGATTTATTTTGAAATGTGAATATGTGCCAATCCTGGGAGCCTCCTGTGGAACTTCGACGACCAACAGCGCTTCACCCATTACAATGCAATGACCCATATGCAAAGAAAGGCCTCTGGCCTGTAGTACACACACCGATCCTGACGACGATCACCAAGGGTTTCATTTGCTCTCGGATCTCGTCGTGAGATCCTTTGACTCGTCTTTTTCTTCAGAGTTTGCTCAGCTGCATGCAGTCGAACCTTCTGTTAGTTTTTCTGCACGTGTTCTGCACATCACCGAGGATGATCCCCGTTCTTCTTTCTAATTCTCACTCTCTCAACACCAGGCAGATTTCTTCAACAACCCAGCAAGCGTTCACTTTACCAGGGACTCTAGACTGTTCGATGGTTCTCGTCATGCCTCTCCTCCATACAAACAGTATCATCATCATCATCATCATCATCATCATCATTGAAAAAGACCAGAAACTTGTGGTTTGAGATCTTGTTTACCATGTGTATGATAACCGACCAGTGTGTAATTTATTGAGATACTAGATGAATATGTGTATATGTAGCTGTATCAAGCCATTCCACATTTTGATATAGAGACTTCTATAAAGATTTGTCCCATGTTATTTGAGCTCTCACCTTCCTTCCGATGTTCTTCAGTGGTAGGACTTACCATGGATCGTGTAGTTCATGAACTGAATAGGTCATGTGCAAACTGCTGTACGAGATGTTTGCAATCGCTCAAAACGTGTCTCATTGTGAAATATAATATAATATAATATATATATATATTTGAATGTGTCATGTTTTGCAGATTCTAACTTTTAAATATCTATTGAACTCCATTGCACTGCATCTGCCCTTGTAGCAAAACAGAATGACCATAAGTCGTATTTAATTCGTGATGTTGACTTTCAACCATGCATCGCCATTTTATTATTGTTGTTTTAGTTGGATGGTTTTTATTTTATAGAGACTAATGAGGGTTTACGGTCTATGTTCTTGTCTATCCTGCTGTGTGATTTAGTGTGAAGGATAACGGAGCTTTGAGAGTGACGTGGTGGTTCAGGTAGAGATTAAGCATGCTGCTGATATCAGATAGATATACAGGGATCCAATCCAACTGAGCTGATGGCTTTAAAATCACAAACATCTGTGCAGTGAAAAGGAGTCAAAAGCCACGTTTCCACCAAATCCAACTGGAACTTTTAGTCCCAGGAGCTCCTATTATCTAGTTAACATTTACCAAATATTCATGTCTTTTCACCAAGTCCCATGACGATTTCTAAATTAAGCCTGCTCAAAAGAACCTTCTGGAACTTTAAAAGCACTCAACAAGTTCCACCTGCAAAGTTCCTGTATTTACTGAACACAATGGGGGAACTTTTCAGAGTACCAGGTCTCTAAAGTCAATGACCATGGTAGGGATGCAGCTTTAGTCTGATTCATGACATGTACTGACTGTTGGACTGTGACTTCTCCAAAAGTACCCGGGGGTTTTAGTTCCTTGTGCTTCTTTTTAAGGGATTAAAAGGTCTGAACCAGCTTTGTTTGCCTTTACACCGTTACCCAGAGACCACTCAGGGTTTGGTGGTCCTCTGTTGTGTGAGTCTGTAGAGTACACAACTGACCTGTAAGCCCCACTCTTTAGGTTTCTGTGCATTCAAAGGATCCTGATCAGGAACCTTTTTGAGGGTAAAATAAACTTCATTTAGAGCCTGGTACCTCTTTTACTCTCAAGTTCTGATGGAAAGTTCTGCTGATGGAAATGCAGCTATACCCCAGTCCACTCTTGAGTTGCATTTCTCACATAAGTACTCAGGATTTTTAGTTCCAGGAACTACTTCCAGATAATTAAAAGGTTCCACTAGTCAATATTTTTTAATGTGTTGGCAAATGTCTAAAGATCTATGATAATTTGGCAAATTAGTCTGCTGATCCGGGTAAAAAGTTCCTCTAAATAAAATGAAATGGTCTGAGCTCAGAGTTCCTCCCCCACGGTCCAGTTCGGTAAAAGCAGCTCAAATCCTTTTGGTGGGACTTTGTTGAGAAAGCAAGAGACTTAAGATCCTGGGACTTAATTTTAACCCCCATACCAGGAGCGTGGTTGAAGCAGTCATACACCTTCGTACCTCCTAAAGTCCAAAGTCTATTGGAAAAGTTCCGGCAGTGGAAACATGTCTTTTGTCTGATTTTTGAAGCCTCAGCTCTGGAACCAGATAAAGAAAAAAAACCTTCAGATACCTGCTGATACAACTTGAGAGATTTATCTTCAGATGAGCTCAGGGAACACAGCATCGTAGCAAACGTGCATCACTGTGGGTCGAGTCAATATCAGTGAAAGTCCAAAAAAAGTGGAAATGTTCTGTGATTGACGGCGACGCGAGCCTGTGATTGTAAACGGGTGTTTTCAGGTTCTGAGGATGTGCCATGAGCCCGTCTGTGGGGGGGTTTGTGCAATAGTCTGGTTGGCTGAATGATGACTTTATCCACCAACCTTGAGAGTCAGGTACAGGCAGTTCACTCTGGTAAAACAGACAATGCCCCTTTTTTGTACGTCCCCTGCACTTTTGTTCGACTTTACTCTTTGATTTTCTCCGTTTTTATCTCTTCTTCTGTTTCATACTGTGGCCTTGCATCGCTTCATTAGAAAACAATCCTTGTGGTTTCTTCTACATTCTGTAGGGACAGTAGATGTAAATGTTTGTACATTGTACAGCACCTTTATAAATACTTGCTGAGTGCTCTTTCTGGGGGAAAAAATAGAGGTATATTCAAAACGCTCCATTATTTTTTTATGTAAAAAAGGAGAAAATATTTAAAAATGGATTGAAAAGGATAGACTATGACCTTGACATGGTGTTCTGTTCATGCACTGAAAAATAAAGTTTTACTGAAAATACCTGCTGGATCTCTTGGACTGATACTACAACACACACCATGAACAATAATTCATGTTTAAGGATTTCTTTAAAGAGTCATCATACGAGCGTCGTGTTTGCTCTTCCTTGTTTCACGCTGCAGTTTCTCTCCTTTTTATATGTCAAAGCAGTTTGAGGCGCTGTTTGACGTCACGGAGAAGAGGCTTTTGTCAGATAAGAAACGAACCTCAGAAGCATCTCCTGTCATGAATCCTCTTCTCATCTATTTATACTCAAGAAGTGGGCTTCAAACCATAAGGGAAGCTTTTGTACTGGAACCTACATGGATATCAGGAGGTAGAGCGGTCGGCCAATAACTGGGAGGTTGGCGGTTCGATTCCCCCCTATCCCAAGTCTGTCCGTTGTGTCCTTGGGCAAGACACTTAACCCACCTTGCTCCCAGTGTGTGTCCTCCCAGCCCTGTTACCATCAGTCTGCTAATGTCACATTAGCTGCTGGTATGTTACTGACAGCTTGTTGTTTCCAGCTCCGGGGTTCTTTATTATTTTACGGCTGAGATACAGATCCAGCTCAATCTGGTCTTTCTTTACGGAGAAGTCATCAGACAAGAGGGGAACACATCACAGATGTCTGAGCAAGGAAAGTTTAAAGGAGCCAACACCTGTGAGTCTTTGATGAAACTTTGTCAGAGGTTAGTTTAGACGGCTAACATAACATTACATCTCTATCACATTATATATCGGAGAAATATGCCTCTTTTGTGTGTTTTAAAGCTAATAATCCAAGTACAAAACCCTCCTCACTGATGACAACCTGCTAAAGAGAAGGTGGACCTTTCTGTGCTCAACACAAAACAGACAAAGACGACAAAGAAGACATCTAAAGGAGCGGCTATTTAAAGGTGAGTTTGTTTTTTAAGGTTAGATTGAGCTGTTAACTGAAATTAAGCTAATGTGTCACTGTTTTTTTGGGCTAACATAAGCTACAGCTAGCAGACAGCTGCTAGCTAGTTGCAGCTAACAGCAGCTACGACTTTCAGGCAAATGCTGGTTAAAGGTGGTGTAGTCAGGATCTGAGTTAGTTCCAGTTTTTAGGAGAAATCTTGAATGTAAACTCTACCCCTCCCAACCAGTTTTCCCCTCAGCTCCTCCTCTCGCCTCAAGCCCCGCCCACAAACAGACGCTCCTGCTCGCTCGTATCGTTCCAGTTAAATTCAGATATAATGCAGATAAATCCTTCAGATCATTACAAATGGGGCCCAGTCAAGGTGAAAGTCAAAAGCATTGGTGCTACTGTAGATGCCAACAGACTACCAGCAAACACAATGTTTGCAGGACTTCTACAACGAGGATAAAGTGACATAGTCCAGGACCCGAGGGAGGACAGTTTAGCGATGGAGCTACAACACGCTACAGCAGGTCCGTTTGACAAGAAACACTTCTGTTACAGACACTTGTCTTACTTTGTTAAAGCGGTTTACCTGTCCAGCAGAAAGGTTACAGGGTCACCAAGATCCCCAAGCGTCCCCCATGGTTTATGTTGACCCGGCTTTTTAGCTCTTGTCCGGTCTACCTCCGTTTTAAGCGCCCGTTATTCCTCCAGAGTCTCCGGTATTTACTTTGTTTTCTTGCTTGTGTCGGCAGTCGTGGCCAAAGGAGGATTCAGACAATTTTCCGAACTTTCTGGTTGGTTTCTACTGTCCGATATTGTAGCACGCTAACTTTGTTTGGGCTCCTGAACGACATGGGGGAGCAGCGTCTGCCTCACAACCAATCAGGTTAGAGGAGGTGGAGAACGGCTTTGTTTACAGTCAGAAAGAGCGGACCGCTCAAAAATGTTCAAATGTTGACGACACAGACAGAAGAGAACACAGAGATATCGATATATTACCAAATAATCAATAACTAATAATTATTGACTGATATTAGAAGAGTTTTTATAAATGCACCACAAAATAAAAAGATGCTTCTTTAATGTTATTACGGTTCTGAAGTATTTTTCAAAGCTGCATTTATGTATATACAGTATATACATATATTTTATTATAATTATTATTATTTATTTTTTTTATTTTTTAATGACCTGCAAGAAGGACTTCAGACCCTTGAGTTTCTATTCCAGGCCTCACTGACCGGTGCAGCTCTGTTGAGTCTGTTATAAACATCATTATTGGGGTTTTATTGACACTAAAGTAAAATTGATCCGTGAATGGCTGTGATGACACTTCCTGTACCTCCATTATGTTGGTGACTCAGACCCTATAGGACTCAGGTGGTTCTATTCAGAGCTTGTCACGATCATAGAGGAGCAGCTTTAATGGCCTCAGAATGGCTGGTAACTACATGTGGTGTGGTAATGGGCTAAAATACTGTAGAACGGCTGGAAAATTACACATCTTGGGTTCTATTTCAGGCACCAGATGAAGTGCAGGAGAGGATGAAGTGATGGATTTATAGTAGAGGTCAATGTTCAGCAGTGAATCATTATTCTTCTCTCCATGTTTTTACTGTAGATGTACGTTTATCTTTCTCTCATCAGGATGTGAGTTTTCTGTGTTTTTCTCTCTTTCTTCATAAATTAAGACTGTAAATGCAGCTGAATATGAGGAGCACAGAACCAGCTACTCTGCAGAACTATTCTAGTGTAATGTTAGAGAGGTAGTTCAGTGTTGTATTGTACTATCTCACACCATTTCTATGTGTAGCAGGTCATACTACGTCCTATCACATCACACTGTATCAGAGTATAATTAACTTATTAAGTGTCATAAAGCACACATTGTGGTGTCCTTTCATATATTATTATTTTATCTTATAGTTTTAGGTTGTATCACATCATATTGTATCGTATCATAATAAAGCACATCTTATTGTGTTGTTTTATATCACACACCATCCTGCTGTATCATAGTGTGTACAGTTGTTTAAAACCATGTAATTCATCTCTCTGTATGGTTCTGTATAAACCCGGTTGAACCCTTAGTGAGGTTCCCAAAGTGGGGTCAGGACCTTCAGGGGGTCTCAGGACGTTGACTGGGTGGGTCTTAGAGAACTGCCTTCAAATTTAAGTTTCATCTAAACATTTGTGTTGTTCTGTCCTGAGTTTGTTTTCTCTGTTTATCTCTAAAATAAAAGATAAGAAAAGGGTAAAATGTCATCAGGATAAAAATAGGCTTTATCGGTTCCTGTCTATGTGAGCTGAAGATAAGAGGGGAAGATGAATGTTGCTGTGAACTGATTTGATTTAGGAGAAAACTGAGATTTAAGTCTTTAATTTTCCCCCTAAATTGTTGTTTTTTTTATCAGATTTTTAGCTGCTGCAGTTCTTCTAACTGCTGCGGTCTTCAGTCTGTCAGACAGTGTAAATGTGTCGGTGTTTTAGTGTCTCTCACAGAGCAGAGTTCATCTTATGAGTGTTGTGTTGTTGTTCTTCTGAATTATTTCACATTTTAATTCAATGAAACAACACTGCATGTTTCTTTAACCCTTAATTATCTGTCTCATCACTCATGATGCATTTGGGATGTAGTTCCCCGTAAAGACCACTAGATGGCGTCAATTTACAGTCAGTCAAGAGCTGGGTATAGTGGTCTGTGAGGGGTTGGATTCATTGTTCTCTGGGGATAAAAATAATAAGAATATAATTTAGCCACATTCTTTCAATGATAGGAAATATGAGGTTATTATTATAAGAGGTATATTTATATTTTCGTCACCTCACACCTTCAGTCTGCCAAGCATGGGGAAGTCAGCAGATATAAACGTTGGTGCTTCATTATCAGCCGTGAGGAGAAGCAGATACATTCTTCTGCGTTGGTCGTTGAGAGGGGAGGTGTCTTAATCTTTCACTGGGACAGGATGTTTGCATTGATAAGAAAAGCAGGTCATGCTACGACTCCTGAAGGCTTTAAACGTGAGAATTGTCCTACAGGCATCATAGCAGCTAAATGCCTTAAAAGGACAAGAGGTGAAGCAGAGTTTTTACAGGTGGATTACGTTGGCTCCACTCCTCTCCGACCACAGACCACTTCAATCCAAGCCTCTTAACTTTTCTACTGATGGAAGGAGAATAAAACAACAACAACCTTCTGCTGGTGTTTCCTCGCTGGGTGAGGCAGAGAGAGAGAGAGAGAGAGAGAGAGAGAGAGAGAGAGAGAGAGAGAGGGAGTGCACAGACATGAGCCAATAAACTAGATTTCCTTCACGCTGCCAGGCTTCTATGTGATCAGTCTGAGGGTTTCCGTGGAAACTCTGGGTGGAGGTCGTCGAAGGCCCCCGTCAACAAACTTATGAGGTTTTAAAACAGGGTGGGGGAGCAGACTCCTTGGAATTTACCCCAGTATGTGTGTGTGTGTGTGTGTGTGTGTGTGTGTGTGTGTGTGTGTGTGTGTGTGTTTGTGTGTGTGAGGCAATGAGCCACAGCTCTGTTGTTGGGGAGTACGGTGGAACGTAACCATGACGATAACACAACCTCAGAGGGTGACTCAGGCTGTGTAATGTGGCCTGAAATATTATGATGCAAAAGTCTGAGCGCTGTTTTATTCCCCGTTTAATTACAAATGTTAATATACAGTTTTTATTCCTCAGAGACCTCATGTGGAATTTTTAATTAATTCTGTTGGTCTCACTGGACCTAAAAAAGATTAACATGAAACAGGAAAGTACAGAGAGTAAAGTGAGAAATAATGGAATATACTGTTATAAAATAAAATGAAGTGAGAAGGACTCAATAGAATAAAAAGGAATAATAAAAACAGGATTATTACAGAGGGAATGGAATAACAGAACTGTGTTAAATAGAATAGAAACAGAGAGGGACAGGATAGAGTGAAACTGAGAAGAGTGAAGAGAATAAACTAGAATGGAGAAGAAACAAGAGAGGTGAAGAAGGAGCAAAGAAAAGAAGAATTAAAAAGGAGAATTTAAAAAAATCATAAATCAAAGGAATGTGAGGGAAAATAAAGAGTGGGACAAATAAGTAAGATATGATGGGATGAAATGAAAGAATAGTCGAGGTTACAATAAATTTATTAGAATATAATTTAAGAGCATCGAGTGAATCATGAAAACAAACCTGAATGAAAAGGTAATGTTTATATTGGAATAGAGAAGTGTGGAATAAAGTGTAACAGAAAATAGAAATGGAGTAAAACAGAATGAACAGAAGAGGAATAGAATAGATGACACTTTAATAGAATCAGATGAATGAAATTAGAATATAATTTATAATGGATTAGCTTTCGGAGTAAATCTGATGGAGTCAAACAGAAAAGGATAAAACATGATAATAAAATAACATGAATGGATTTTAGAAGGATAGAATGAAGGGAGTGAAATAAAGTGAGTTTTGTGGAATAAGAGGTGAAGCAGAGAGGGATGGTTGGTCAGGAGAAGACAATGATTGGTCAGGAGAAGACGATAATGGATTAAAATTTAATTATATAAAAATTAAATTTGGTGAAAAATCTGACATGGATCAGAAAACACTGAAGGTCAGTGGAGAACATGAGGAGGGGGGGGGGCTCAGAGCAGGAAAAGACCCTTTTTCCAGGACACGCCCATCATGGTCATGTTTCTACTTCTCTGCTGTTACAACATGAGGAGATGTCTCCACCTTACAGCAGAAGACTGAGTCCTCTGGACCTCAGGAGCTTCATCATCCAGGAGGTTCATGTTCCTCAGAGGATGAACCTCGAACACTGATCAGTCTGGTGTCATCTTCAGTCTCTCTCTTTGTTCACACTGACAGTCTCTGAGGTTGTTTTGGAGCCCAGCGTGGACACCATCAAGTAGATAACTGTGTGAGAGGGATTTCCTGTACGGCCCTTTCAAAATAAAATCCATTAGAGGACTGTTAAAAAGTTCTGCTTTTAGATTGTTTTTACATCAAACTCGAGTTAACAGTTAAAAAAGACGATGCACAGACCTCTGAGGTGTTAGTTTACTGAGGAGTGAGCTGTTTAATGATTAGTTAATGAGGTTTTCACAGATACACTGCTGTTTCTCTCATGAGTATTTATGTTTAAGTTGTTTTTACAGCCACTTCACAGAGTCCTCAGGCTCTGGTCCATGAATGAACCTTTAAACAGATCTTAATAAGTCCATGATTTCATGTTTCTTCTCTATGTTGAACTGTGAAGAACATTTTAAATGGGTTTCTTTGTCTATGGAAGGAATTAAAAACATGATTAGTTACATTTTTAACATAATAATTAATGTTATATATTGAGAGCAAACTTCCTGTTTATCTGCATTTTTCATAACTTTATTTATTTAAGCATCTTCTGTAGATTAGATCATATAAATATGACTCTGAAGTTTCTTTATCTTTGAGTTTTTCTCTGTTTGTGTTTATGCTGCTGAAATGTTAGAATATCTCCTCCTGATGGACGATTAAAGGACCGTCTTCTCTTATAAACCTGTTTAAACCTTTAACTAAAGCGTTCATGATAACACTGAAGGAAACAGTTCATGTTGATGCATCAACACAATGAAATATTCTCTATGAGAGACTTTATCTTAAAGGTTTAATAAAGTCATTTATCATCATATTTATGATCGAGTATAAGACACTTGTAATTTGAAGGAGCTGCTGTGTTCCGGTCCATCTGGGTGTTGAGGAGATCTTGACGGTCCTGGTCTGAGTTAGTCCGGCGGAGACCTGAGGGGAGGATCAGAGCTGAACCGGCCGGCAGAGAACCAAGAACTCAGGTGTTCAGATCACTGCAGGTCAGCTGGGATTACAAGAGTCCGGATCTAGGTCGGGATCCGCATCCGAGTGTCCTCCTGAAACCAGCATGGAGGTTTTTCTGAAGACCTGTGGACTAAAGAGGGTCCGAACTCTGCTGGTCCTGTCCCTGCTGGTCCTGAAGGCTGCAGGTCAGTGTGTGTGTGTGTGTGTGTGTGTGTGTGTGTGTGTGTGTGTGTGTGTGTGTGTGTGTCTGGATTATTAGATAATAATATTTATCAATGTCACGTGACGGCGCGAGCCCGATTAGAAACGGCGTAAAGTGAACGAAGTTAAAGTGATCAAGTTTTTATTTATTTCTGCCTCCAAATCAACTTTAAAGATTTAAAATATTAAAACAGTAAAATAATAATAATAATAATAATAATAATGATAATCCGGTTAAAACACTTCCAGATGATTTCAGACTGAAGGCGAAATAATGAGAGTAAATGTGACATCAGTTTGAGGATTAAAAATTTAGTTTAGCTTCAGAGACAACAGCTCGGGGTCAGGGGTGCACTTAAGTTCACTCTTAGTTAGTTAGTTAGTTAGTTAGTTAGTTTGTTAGTTAGTTTGTTAGTCAGTCAGTCAGTTAGTTAGTTTGTTTGCCACATAAAGAAGATAGAAAGGCATATGTGTGAATAGGGGTAAGTTGAGCCACCCCCTGTTGCTTAGAAATGGTCAAAGAAATTGATCATGTGACCAAAATTTAGGCGATGGTCATCAATTCATGGAGTCTGTGAAGGTTTGAAGCTCATGGGCGAAGAAGAGGTTAGAGATTTATTTACAAAAACAACATTTTTCTTCCCTCTGTGAAGTAAATTTAGTCTTTAGTCATCAGTTTGATTAGAAAAAAAAGAATTTTAAATTAGTTTTATCGATCAATCATGGTATCTATCAGCTCCAACATGAGGTCAAAAACAGTCCACCATTTTATCTTGGAGGACTAATAAAGTCATCATAGTAGTTCAGGGGGAACAGAGGAAGTAAAGGAGTCTGAGGAGAGGATCAGAGTTTACAGATCTATGGATGTTCTCAGTAAAGACATTCTCATCTTCAAGTGGTTTTTTTTACTAAACAGCTTTTATCAGTTATATGTAATAATAATAAAAAGAATGATTGTACCAGCTGAATAGAGTATAATAGATAAAAAAAAAAGGTGGTCAACTTACCCCAAACACACCCGGGGTAAGTTGACCATAGGAGACCCTTTTTTTGTCCTGCTATATTCTGAAGATGACAGTTCTGTTTACTCTCATTCTGATGAAGAACATCCTGAAATATCTGCAGAGACACAAGTCAGAGACTAAACTAGGACTGACCTGATGGACTGATCCAGAAACATGGATCATCTTAACCCGCTCTCCCCTAAATCAAACTCATACCCACGTAGTTAATGTATCACAGAATCAAAACAAACATAATAATAATATCACTTTAGTTCAGTGTGATAAAATAGAGTAGTTTTATTGGGGCGTTTAGCTCAGGTTAGTCGATGGTTTCGTTGATAAACTGCCTCTTATTGAGTTTCCTTCTTCCTCCTTTTCTTTTGTCGAAGAACTTCAACATTTTTCACTCAGAGCTTGAACTTTGACCTCAGTATTGGGTCCTATGATAACATTATTCAGATGCCGTAAATAAACTGACCACCCAGAGAAACAGACAGTAAAGACTCATGGTTATTTTTCCTTGTTTTCCATGAGATGTTCCAGGAAACCTTTAATGACATGAATCATGTACCTGAGTTCACTCTCCTGGATATTTCAGAGCTGCTGCTGCTGGGAATCCGTCGGTGATAAGACGGCTGTATTACCTTTAAACACATAAACAGTCGACTTACCTTTGAATTAAGCCTTTTGTTAAATGAGCTTAGTTGTGATGAACCAATGTCTCCAAAGCCTGAATAACTTGGTACTGATAAAGTTATGACCTCTGAACTGGACTAAAATCCACCCAGAAGGAACGTCAGGTCAACGTTTTTGAGGTTTGACTAAATTAGACCAAATTCCTGGTCATGACTTTTGAACATGATCGCAGATTTATTCACTTAAACTCAACAACGTTTCCGTCTGCAGATTTCACGCTCTGAATTTCTGTTCTTGGTGTTTTTAATTTTTATAAACAGCTTCAACATGATAAACGCCTCATTAAAGTCAGAGCCAATAAATATGTCAGTAATCGACTGTTATTGTTTTCAAGGGCTGATACCAGTATTGATTATTAGAATATTGATTATTAGAGGTGAGTGAGTCCAGTACCTGGGGATGCCCATTATTATGATCAGAGAAGTGTCAGTGAAGTGACTCTGCTGACCTGAATTTGAGTCTCTGTCTGGGTGAGAGAGTGAGGTGTTTCTGACGCACTTCTAGTCCAATCCAGTGTCCAATCCACGGCTGCTGTTGGATTATATTTTTGACATTTACTGATTTACTGAAAAACAAACAAATACGTCCAAATTACGACGATGGTGATGTACGTGACGAGGGGGAGTGGTGTCGGAGATTAGCGATAAAAACCGTGAGCTCTGAGTCCTCTTGTAGGATTTACCTGAAGCGCCCCCTTGTGGTGACTGTGACAAAACAAAACCTAAAAAATAATCTCGATAAACTGGCTCATATAATAAGTATCAGCAGGTAATAGTTTACATCAACGACAGATCTGAACTGTTTTTGCTGATCAAATATCAGCTCCTTTGCCGTCAGCTGACCTCTTCATGAAAAGGTCAATTTAAAGGTCCATTTCACTTTTTTGTGTGTGTGTGTCCCTGAAGCTGAGTGTCCGAAGCCTGAAGGAGGAGAAAACATCGTCCTCACAGATGACGCTCTGCTGAAGAACCATTATGAGGAGAATTCTGAAGTCACATTAGAGTGTGGGAATGGATATGAGACAGAGAGCGGCTCCGGAGTCATCACCTGTATCGATGAGAAGTGGTCTGAACCAGATCTCATCTGCAGAAGTGAGTCTTACTTCTATGAGACGCTCTCATGTCGCTGACGAACAGCTTTGTCCGGTAAATACGGGGTGAATGATCGGGTAGAAATCCTGTTTTTCTTCCTTTTTCACAGAGAAGGACTGCGGTGCCCCTAAGCCTCAGCCGAGTATGACCTTTGACATGAGCGGCGGGACTCTGTTTGGAGCTTTGATCAGAGTCATTTGTGATAAAGGGTGAGTATTAAACAGAAAATGAAATGTTGAAAGTGAAATGAACAGGTCTACAGGTTTATTTATCTATGTAGAGGTCAGAATCTAGATTAAAACGCTCCCTTGTTCACCCCTCCCACTGGGGAAACTCCTGAACTGACTCTCGCCTTAGCGAACAGGAAGCTCCACGATACACGTCAAAATTATTTTACATTTGCCAAAATTTTACCATCAAAAATTTCCATCAAGACAAAATCTTTTTCCCAAAACAACAACTCCTTCTCCATCCTCTTCACCTCTTTACAGCCGGCATGTATGTCTGGTTTGTCCATTCTGAGCTACCGTAGAAACACAGGGGATAAAGAGAGCTTTATGATTTTATGATTTTATTATTTAGTATTATATTATTTTATTGTTATTGAGTACTTGATGCCAGTGGTGACGGGGATGCTCCATACAAATTTCATAGTTAACTTTGTTTAACAATGACAATAAATAACTTGAATTTGAACTTGGGCTCCTCATGTGAGGATAATATGATATTATATAACCTTTCTCTTTCGGAAAGCCTACCTGGACTAATTTTATCTGATTTTATCTGCTGACTGTTTTTTTTGTTTTTGTTTTTTTTTTTTTTATGTTGTATGTTATTTATTGTTGCTTGGTATTTACTATTACTGTTGTCTTGTGCACTTTGAGATTTGTTTTTAAATGTAAAGTGCGTAATAAATAAAATCTATTATTATTATTATAATTAATATAATATTATATAATTAATATAATACATATCAGTTATCAAGAACAAGTATTTTTAATAAACATTCTGATGACGTCTGTTCTTCCAAATTTCCCTAAAAACTACTTACTGTACCTTTAATTTAGCTGAAAAGTCAACATCGGGTGTCGGATTTGTAAAAAGTATAAATGCAGACTTTGTCAGGTCTGTGTCTGCGTTCAGAGGAGCAGGTGTCTCAGCGGCGCGACTCCACTGACCACACACATCCTGAGTCTGAAATAAAGTCCAAAGGTTCTGAGTTTACTGCTCCACAAACATCTGTCAGCGGATAATTTAGAACCACAGCATCAGTCCAGGTGTTTGTGGATGAAAAAGGTCCCTGAGGGAAATAACGGAGTCTGAAAGACAAACAGAGAGAGTTACGTCAGAGTTTCACTGATTACAAATCTGGATCTCTTTTCACTGACGGCAGAAGTTGTTGATTCACGGTTCATGACCACAAGCTGTAAGAATTTAGGTTTCATTCATCATCCTGTTTCAGTACAAACACCGCGCTCTAGTTTTGATTTCTCCTCAAATAAACTGTCCTGCGTGTTTTTTTCACACTTCATCCACAGTTACCAGGTGAGCGGGTCGAGCTTCAAACAGTGCTACGCCTCCGGGTGGGTCGGAAGAACCCAATGTGAAGGTAAATATGTCTCCAAATATATGCTCATTCAGATTTTTGCATGTGGAAAGTTTGTGAAAAACTCGTCTACCTCTTTTCTAGTGGTAACCTGTGACAAACCCGGTGAAGTGACCAATGGCAGAAACTCCTGGGATTCTGAAGAAGACCCAGAATATGAAGCGGTCATCCAGTATACGTGTGATCCAGGATTCAGTCTCACTGGGAACGCCACCATCAGGTGCACCGAAACCGGGCTATACGACTCTGAGCCTCCTGAATGCCAAGGTGAGCGTTTGAAGACTGAAGCTGAAAACATGTGGAGTGTGAAGTTTTAGGTGACCTGACAGGTAGTTTGTCAGCCTTGTACAGAAAAGATTCACATTCTTGAACGCTGCCTCTTTTTTCTGAAACATTTGACTTTAGCGTAGCTGCAGTGAGACTCGTGTGAGATCGGAAAAAAGCGAAGTGAACATTTGTTACTGTAATGTTTTAATGCGAAACTACGAGCGACCTGCTCTGAGGGTTAAAACTGCATCTATGTCCCTCACATTACCTGAACATGTGGAGGGAATATCAGAACCAGCCATGGCCCAAAAGGGTCGAAATAAACCCAAAAGTCCAAGTGCGAGTTAAGAACAGCAGCTGGGCGTAAACGAAGCTGACCGAATTCGTCATTACGGCTACAACGAACTTTTTGAGTGGAAATCATACCGAGATAACTGAGGACGGTTCTCGCTGTGCTCGGTTCAGGAGCAGCCAGTGTTGCTAAGTAACAAGTCTCTATTGACTCTGTTTTGACTCGTCTTCATAAAATCTACAGACGGCATGGTTAGATTAAAATGTGAGCTCTCATGTCAGCCGCAGAGCAGGACACTGTTCTCACTGCACAACTGGAAAACATGGACACATGAAGTCAACAGCCGTCCATAAGGAAACTCTAAAGCAGCTTTCTTATTCCTGACATATGTGAAAGTTTTTCCTCATGGACCGCTCAGAGCTGACAGCCTCAACATTTAAGGACAGGAGACACGTCTGTGCTTCTCTCTGACACGCTGTCGTCGAGACAAAACCGCCTCAGTTAACTCAATCAGGACTTAGACAACACCTGAAAATCAGCTCATTGTCAGATTAACGGCCAATCACGGATCACTCTCTATTACCTTAATGTTTCTTTATTGATCAATAAGATGTTTGATCAACAGCATGTTTGTTTTTGTAAACGTAGACCTGCCGTAAAGACGACGTTCAGCTGGAACACAGACAGTCTCTAAATGAGACTTATGGTGGTGTCCATCTGGTGTACTCAGCTCTATACTCCGAGCTCTGCCTCAGGAAAAGTCAGTGCCAGGAATCTATCAGTTTATCGCTCAATTTCTACTTGGTATCTTTCACCTCAAGGCCATCCTGCCTCCCACTCAGAGCTCACTGTCGAATCCCAGAAATGAAAATGTTACGAAGAGGCTCTAAATCTCCGAGAGACGATTTTCATGCTGGGATGAAATTCAAAACAGACGCTGCCTGGAATGTTATCTGTAAAAAAGCTGTTCTGCTTTGACTGCTTTCATGTAATGTGTGTTATCTAGTAACGGGGTCAGACATGCAGGTGTGATCTCCACATTCCAACTCTGTCCAATCAGCAGCAAGTGCGCTCTCATGAATCTGTAATATACGGTATATGATTGTAGCTGTGGGCTGGCATGAGATTCAGATGGTGTGATGACCTGGAACAATAACGTCAAAGTTTCACAGTTTTAAAATTTTAGCTCTAAATTATTAAATATCTTAAACTCTGGCTTTTAAAAATATGGAGCACAATCTTTTTCTTTTTTAAATGACGAATGAATCCTTGGAAACGAGTGAAAATTATTAAAATGAAGCATTAATTAAAACAAATCATTTAGATATGCTTACAATCTTACTGCTGCTAAAAGTGATCTAAAATAATATCATGAGTGTTTTGGCAGTGATGCACAATAAAATATCAACAAACATCAAGTTAGCTTTGTTAAGCCCCGCCCCTTCTAGTTTTTGATTGGCTAACTGGAGCACCACGTCAAACAGTAAAGGCTAGCACGAGCAAAATATATCCAAAATAAAAAACTATTATATATATATATATATATTTATATATATATATATATATATATATATATATATTTATATATATATATAAATGAATTTTTAAAAATAAATAAATAAAAATAATAAATTTTAAAAAAGGATTAAAATAATAAATTAAAATAAATTAATAAATTAAAATATATATTAAAAAATAAAAAAAAATTTTTTAAAAACAATAAAATAAAATAAACCCTAAATAAACACTCGGAGTACCCTGAGTACTGTGAATTTACAAGCAGCTCATTACGCTTCGACGTCTTTCAGGAAAGTCATTCAAAGAAAAAAGCTAAATGGACTTTTGTAATGTGCGAGCAAACCGCGGCTAACAAGCCACCTGAGCGTTTCCATGCGAAGTCCTCTTTCTTTTTCAACCAGGTATGAGTGACGTACGAGGGCCGACCATGTGATTTCATAGACAGACTTTATCAAAACTGCCGTACACACATTGGTAACAGCCACCGTTTTCTAACTGCGGCCACTTACCTCTGATTTCCGCCCACGGGGGAAACTCAACTTAACGTACAAACAAATGATAACAGCAGGATTTAGAAGTCCGACTCTGTAACACCATCTAAGCTCAGTGTTTGATATAAACTAGCACAGCAGGAAACTAGAGCAATACTCACAGTGTACACATAAGCCTACTGCACTTCTTGTTGCTATGGCGTTGCTAAGGAAACTCAGCACTGCACACAGTTGGCATGCTCAAACAAAATCACTTAAAGCTCTCCTACAGACTCCTCTTAAGACTCTTTGTGGAGAAGTGCCTCAAACTTTGGACCATTTTTAGACTCTTCTCTTGTCTGCGCTCACTCCGTGTGTTTGTGTTCTAACTTTAACACTAATCCTCCTCTAAACAGCTTAACACTTTTATAAATAATGTGTCTTTATCGTGTTTTAATGGGGAAAAAACAGAAGTTTCATATGACTTCTCAAGGATGTTAAAGTAAATAATCCCATCAGTTTTATTCCCTGAATTGTGTAAAAAGAAGTATCCTGCTGATACAAACCCTCACCTCCATATTCATGCATGCTCTTTGTCAGTTCCTCTCAAATCACCGATAAAAGTGATTTAGTTTAAATCTTGGAATATTTAGTCGTGTTTTTAATATCTGCAGGTGTTAAAGCTGATGATAAAACCACGACAGTCACGGTAACACACAGACCCACAACTCCAACACAAGGTATAAAGACATTTTGACATGTGCAGAAATAAGTGAGTTATTCAAATGCATGACAAACTTCACTTTTACTGCCCCTGCTGCTTTTAAGAAAAACTGTCTTCATAGATGGTGGAAAAATGATCACAACTGTCGCACCTCTAAAAGCCACAGAACACCAGGACACAGATGATGCAGGCAGTCTAACAACAACGACACCAACCGTCCCACCGGCACCACAAGGTACAGAACACAGTTAGTGTGACATGAAGTATAAAATCAGTGAGACACATGGAGACGTGCGTGGATCATGTGCATGCTGCATGGAGACAGTTGAAAGAGACTTAAAGTTATTCTGTGTTATATTGTGATTATTCATCCAGGAAGCAGAGACATAATGACAGCTGAGGAGAAAACGACACCGACCGCTGTTAAATCAACAACTGCATTACAAGGTATCAGACGACTGACGAGAAGCAGAAATGTTCAAAAGCTCTTTCCATTTGGGATTTTGATGATTACAAGGTTCGGTTTAATAACAGACTTCTGCCTCTGACAGTTTGAGAGGACTCAGACTCCACTTTGAGATGGACCTTTAAACTTTAGTCCAGCTTTAGTTCCTTTTGGCCCGTTTGGTCTTTAATACAGAGGGAGATGAAAAGGAGTGGAAATTAAAAATAGGATTTAATTGAACAGTATTGACTCTCCAGTGTTAAACTAACAAAGTCATGCATGAGGATAAAGAGGATACAGAGTCCTCTCTGGTCCAGTCTAAACCTCCACAGTCCAGGTTCAGGGACTCTGTGTTTAAGATTGGACCAGAAGACGGGCCAACATAGACCAACATAGACCAACATAGACCAGTTCTCCTGTTTGAATCAGGCTGTAAACATGGTAATTCTGCTCTTCAGACGAACACTTTAACATGGGCTCCAATGGGGATTCATTGACTTTTGGGGGCGACCCCAAGAGGATCCTGGAGGTACTGCAGTCTCTGAAGGCTAAAACATCCAGGATCAGTGTATTCGGAGCGTAACGGCAGCGGCGTCTCGTATCAAACAGCAAACAGGTTTCTATTCTAATCAAAGCAGCAGAACAGGACGCGTCTCAGCTCCGTCGCAGCGTCGTATCAGAGCAGCTCTGCTAAAGATACGCGGCGAGTAGATTTTTGCTGCTCTACGCTTCCAACGCGCGTCAATCCACACAGAGAAGATCGTTCTAGACAGGAAGTCAAGCAGGAATACCGCGCATGTCATCCGGTATTTCAAAATAAAAGACCATCTGTGAACTCCTGACTGTGTATCAGTTGGTGTAGATGAGAAACCCTTCCTGGTTCTGGATTTATCAGTAACAGAACAATCCGATGGTCGGTCCCTGATCCATGTGGACCAGAAAGGAACAGAGTTTACTTTATTAAACACCAGGAAACCTGCAAAAACACAAACTGGAAAATCACTTACAGCTTTTTCACAGACAGTCGAGGATCAACAGTCACTGAATTATATCAGAATTATCAGGAGATCGACCACAGAGAGGAAAAACCACCTGCTGTGAGCGTGTCGTTTCACTACGCTCCAAATACGATGATCCTGGATGAGATACTCACGCTGCTCTACGGAGAAAATATGGAACAACGAGCTCAATACGGATCCTGGAGGTTTTGGGCTTCACAGTTCTTCAGGATCGGCCTCGTTCCTCATCAGGTTCCTGCTTGGTCAGAATCTATAATCACTGTTTGTGTATTTGAGCACAGAGTGTGTAGTCAAGCACATCATGTTTCCAGGCAACCTGTGATGTCCTGACCGTGTGCCGTACAGCCCTAAGACTCAGTGGAGGAGTCGGCCATGTCTTAATAGGTCAGGGGTTCAACCTCAGGTCCCGCTGTCCACACGCCAAAGTGTACTTGGACGAGATCATTAACCCCACCCGCCCCCCTGCTGGCTGTACGTGAATGGGATTAGTCCAAACTGATGGGTTTATATAGCAGGCTCTGCCTTCAGTGTGTGAATGTGTCATGTGACCTGAGAGCGCTGTAAGAAAAACAGCCGGAGTGAAAGTGCAAAAAAGTGCAGTTCCCCAAGTGTCCACTGGAGGCCGGCTTCAAAAGTCGAGGAGTCCTCATGGTAGCCCATGTTACAGAGTTGATTCCAACAGCTGAGTGAAACATGTTCACAAACCTGGTAAAAATAAAAAAATACACAGTTATGAACCTGAAACTGATTCTTTATATTTCTTAACTCTTTTAGTTTGATTGTATTAAAGTGAAGCTAACTCTTAACTGGGTTAACTGGGTTAACTGGGTTAACTGGGTTAACTGGGTTAACTGTGAAGTGGGGCCACTGTAGCTCTTTGGCAGGTGGTCGGGCCGTCGCCCCGCCTCCACCTCTTTGCCAAGATTCAGTTGGAGTCAGCTGTTCCAATATGGCGTCAACCATCTGTGACCTTTGTACCCCCTCATCAGAAACCAACAGGAGGTATCCCTGAGAGCACGTCCATGTTTGATACAGACGCTGGTCCTCACACCTCCGTTTTATACCTCCTCTATCCCATCCACTCACACTGAACACTCGCTGATGTTGTTGAAGACGGTTCGTGTTCAGAGGGTTCAGGTCTTCATGATCTGGATCAGGAGTCTGTGCATCTTAACCTGATGATAGCCTGACGTTTTGGGATTTACACTTCTTTTATGTGAAATGTTTGAGCATCACTCTTTTAGTGTTTTTTTTCTGGTTGGTTCTTGGCGCTCAGCAGTTGCTAGGCAACCAAGCGGAGAATCCAGTAAGGTCGACCTCACAGCTGAGATGTTATCTGGCGAATCAGCCCGCGTGTAACTGAGAGAGAGAAAACAAAGAAGAGGACGTGCTGATTTGTGACCCCTCTGATGTAGTCGAGCTGTTTGATTTGATTTATTGAGTTTTTTAGTTCAGATAAACAAACAGCTGCTGGTTATTCCTCCATATTTAACAGACACCTGTTCATATATGAAGCTCCATCTGCTCAATAATCCTCCAAAGAGAGAGAAGAAGTGTTCATCCCAAATGTCAAACTATAATATATTAACACACGAATTAACGCCTCTTAGTTTCCTTTTAGGTTGTTGTTTGTAAAGCTGATAATAATGTTTTTTTCAAGAGTAAAATCAACGATTCAGCAGGTACTGTGGAGGGTTTCAAAGGTTAAATAAGATGTTTTTCAAACTTCATATCCACCACCTCAGTGATTCTGTTTTATACTTTCAGATCAACACAATGCAACTTTGGATAAAACCGCGCCGGGTGTTGGTGAGTTACTGAGCCTCAACACTTGAACTTGGTCTTGTTGTTGTTGTTGCTGTTCTGACACTGACCCTGGATCTGTCTTTTTAGGATACCTACCCGTCATAATCAGTGTGATAAGCGTTTCTTTGGGTAAAGTCTTTTTGTTGTTGATTATTTGAGTTTCATTCTTCATCTCACAGACAGACGTCTGTAAATATGTCTGTCTCTTTGTTCTCTGCAGCTGTGTGTTTATGTCTTTTCGTCGTACAAAAGTTTCTAATGAAGAAAAAAGGGTGAGTTTCATATTTGACTCCCTCCTCCTCTTTAATGCATGAACTCCTTCTTGATTCTGCCTTTTCTCTTTGTGCTTCATGGCTGTAGTGAGATCTGTTTCTGTGCACAGACTCTTTTTTTTAAGAGTCACCTCTGCAGCTGCTCAGGTTCCTGGCTGATTTTTAACAGTTTGAGGAAATTCAGACGTCTATATATCCGGGCTTATGCAAAGGAATGAGGGAAGTCAACAGGAAATCCTTTAGTAAAACTGGCTGTGACAGAAAAATGCATGAGGGGGAACATTCCTGCCGGACAAATACATCTCATAAATAATGAGATCAGTCAGTGAGGCGGCTCTGTTTGAGGTGGACCAACAACAGGCTTCACTAACAAACACTCACACTGTGGACTTACAGGATGGACATCTGGATTTTCTTTTTGTCATTCTGGGTCTCTGATATCAGAATTAATGGAATTATACCAACACATGAATGGTTAGGTGGAGTTATCTCTGACCTTGTAGATATCTTTGATGACAGCTGTGAATGAGAAGGACATTATTGTGATATCTGCTTATTTTGACTATCAGAGGAAATGAACTACAGATCCCCCTGAAGAAAGTCCAGATTGACTTTTTCTCTGTCTTCCTGTTAAAGACATCTGAGATCGGAGGATGGTGTCGCTGTTTGATTTTTGGTTTCTGTGTCTTTGCAGAAACATCAGGCTGCTTTCATATATTTCTCATATTTATTAACGGAGTAAAGTTTCGCAAAGATCCCCGCTCTGCATGTCGATCAGTGTTTGATCAGTTTTGGAAACAGCAAAGGAAACAAAGTCACATAAACCGAAATAAAAACGTTTTCCCTAAATCTGATCAGGTTTCATTTTTAGTAACATTTTCAACTGGACATGATGATAAATTACAGTTTTTAATAGATGGTCCTGGTTTTCTCGGAGAGTCAGACTAAAGGGTTTCTTAATGCCGAGTTTTAGAGTCGTAGATGTGCTGCAGGTCTGCAGGTCTGCTCCGTCAGAGGGTGGTGCAGAGACTTAAAGATCTTGTTTTCGAAGCACTTCTTCTATCTTTTTGGCACCGTGGGTTTTATTATTTCGGACTGTGGGAAAGGGAAGCTGAGAGTCTTCACAGGTCTGATGGAAAGTGGGATTTTTCTGTGTTTGGTGAAAATGGCGTCCAAGAGACACGAGAAGCTAGGTGGCGTTATAACAATGATAGGCCGTAGACCAGGAGACCTTTTAGTTCTGATAAGACATCGAAACTCCTTAAACCTGCAAGTTAGTCCGTCTGAGCTCAGACCGGATGTTCAACACAGATGCATGTTTTCCTTTGACACCCCTGAGATCTCCTTTTTGGTTTCTGGTCTTGTTGTCATGGTAGCGGTGTCTTGTAAACCTGTCATCTCCCACTTTTTTCAATCAAATCTGGTAAAACTAACAAAAACTATAACATGCCGATCACATAAGTGCAGAATTCTGACCTGACTCTGTCTTATTTGACGACACTTCAGCTCATATGACACCAGAGAGGACCTGAAGCCGGAGTTATTACAGTTCCAAAACCTGTAGATTGCCTGCTTCACTCAGGTACTTTCCAACCTTCCTGTCCTTTTGTAGTTCTAGTGATGGTTATTAGTCTGAGATAGTAAACAGCATGTTGTTCTAGTGATGGTTATTGGTCTGAGATAGTAGACAGCATGTCAGTCATTCTCTCGTCTTCCTTGTCCCTCTGCTCTGTGAATGACGCTCTCTCTCTCTAAACCTTCTTCTTGATTCCAGCTCTGGAAATGGAACGGGCCTATCTGTTGAGGAGCATCTGTGAAGTGTGACAGACGCGCCGACAGATTGTGGCGGTGCCTCTCTGAGTCGACGGCGAAGGGAGGGGGGCCTGACGTGGAGCGGATACTGAGATCTGCTGACTTCAGACTGAATTCAAACCAACAAAGATCCAAAAGCACTTTTTTAAGAGTAACTTTTTATGACCACTCCTGTAAATACTCTGTGCCACTTTAGCATTAATATTTGTTAAATATTATTTATGATGTAAACTGGAATTAACACTTTTGTCCTTGTTTGATGAAGAATTACAAAACTATTTAAAGTGTGAAGTTTTTTAAAGATCCTGCAGTTTTGTTGTTTTTTTACTGTTGTGTTATTTTGTTAATACTGAGTGATGGAAAAAAGGGGATAGATGAAACAAACAATGAGCTCAATTCAGTTTGGAGACTGTAATGGCGTCTGATAAAGATACAATCAGCTGCATTCTTCGCCTCCTGACTCTCTTTTCTTTATTGTCCTCCGTGTTTCAGCTGTTTTTCTAAGCTGTGCAGAATAATAGAAAACATTTTCATGAGGAAAATGGACTCTGTAATGAATGATAATGTTGAATATGAAGGGGAAATTGTTTAAAATCCTTTAAATAGTTCATTCAGACACTAGTTTGTATGAAAATGAGTTTTCTTTTTGAGGAAAAATACAAACTCTGCCTCTTTGATCTGCACTTTGTAGCAGGATATACGATTTAAATGGAAAAAAGGAGGTAATTCAAACGCCGACCTCGAAGCGAGCGCTCAATATTGTTCACGTTTCACAAAGCAGCAGTTTTCCTTTTTGCTTGGAGGAGAAACTCAATGGTTGCATTCATAGTCATGGCAGCAGTGAGGGGCAGGCAGTAATCCTGGCAGGGGTGTGGACGAGTACAGAGAACCCCCCCACCCCATAATAAAACTGACTCCAGTGTTTGACGGAGCCAGAGGCCTGAACTGAGCCTCCACCCGATCAAAGACTCCGTTTATTGTGTCGACTTCAAAGGAATTTAACAGTAAATGACCCCCAGTCAAATATTACACTTATGATTCGGACAATGAAGCAGTTTTAGTCGCTTTAAAAAGAAGCCGTGACTGACTGATGAAATCCTCTGAGGGGGGGAAACACGGTGGTAAAGAGGATATGGACCCCACTCATCATGGTGCTTATTCATCGTAGTTATGTGGACAGACAGTGGGAGTGGGGGGGCTCTTCAAACAGCCTCCACACCCGGCCCCCTACCAAAGCCGTCCTGTGGATCTGTCTCAGCCAAATCATCACGTCATTAAAAAAATCCGTCTGCTGCTTCTTTACGGACAACAAACCCCTTCAAACTTTCAAACTTTATTTATAACACTTTTCATAGGCAGAGAAACCCTAGACAGAGCCGATCACAGCCTTCAGTGCAGGTGACCCCCCACTGGAGATAAAAACATACAAACATAAACTACATCAGCCAAGAACATCAAACTAAATAAAATTATAAAGTACTGATTAATAACTAAAATATCATTTAATAATAAGTGAATAAATAGATTAAACATAACATGTAAAATGAGGAATAAAATCATATAAAAATACTGATTTAAAATAGGAAATCAGTAAAAAGCCAAATTAAACAGGTGGGTCTTTAGTCTGTTAAAGGTTCACGCTGAGTGATGGTGACAGGAATGAATGAACAGTTCATGGAAACTGAAGGTCCAGGTCCAGTACTGTGTGGGTCAGAGGGGGAACTAAAACCGTAGGAACTGGTACCTGGAGGACATCAATCAGCGCACCACTGAGGACCGAACAGAAGACTGAACAACAGGCCGTATAAGAGAGGAAAACACCCTGATGGTAAATATGATCAATGTGGGCAGGCTGAAGGTGTCCAGCATGTGGAGGATATGAGGAGGAGAGAAGGACACTGACAGGAGCAGAAGAAGAACCAGGATGGAGGTTAATATGAGGAACCTGCTCAGAGCAGAGTCAGAAGATCTACTCCATATCTGAAGATTCAGGGTTAATGGAGAGGATCGAACTTTCTGATTCTGGGGTTTCTGTATTTATTTTGTCTGTTCCACACTCCAGTCCAGTAGGAGGCGGTAAAACACCTTCAACCGCCAATAAACTCCAATGTAGAGGAAGAAGACCTCCGTCAGTGGCGGGAAGGTCGGTCGGTGTAGTGTGGGTTGATTGGAGGAGAGTTTCAGGTGTGAATGTTGTTCACCTGGATGTCGAACAGCACGAGAGTGTCAGCTTCATTAACGTGAACGACATCCGAGTAAAAACGATCCACATCCGAAAAACACCGAAGTTAAGCCGACACCGAGGGAACCACAGGCCGAGGACAGCCGGGTGTTCAGGCTGAAGGGTCCCGCCACAGGTGTGAGTGGGGCCGGAGATAAATCCACGCAGCTGGAGCCGCGAGAGTTCGTTAAAGAGCGGCGGGAAATCCCGACCTTAAATCCCGGACTGTTGTCTGGAGGGGTCGGTGGTCCCCTCATGAATGAAGACCCTGTTTACCTGTGGATCAGAACTCAGGACTCTCGGGGTTTTCTCAGGTCTGTCTGCCGGGAAAGGACCGGGAGAACGACCCCCTCAGACCACAGACGATCCGGATCATGGAGTCCCCGATGACTGAGGGGGGCGGCCGGCTCAGTGAACCCGTCCTCCCCGTCAGACACCCGGGGGTGAGGACGTCAGTGTGCCGCCATCTCACCGAGTCCCGGAGGAGCCGCCTCGGCTGAAGGGCGGGAGGCCCGGAGCTGGACGGTCCGGTGGGTCCCAGGCAGCCGTGAGTGGAGGGACGGCTGAGGTCGGGAAGGCCTCGGGATCAGCAGGGTCCTGGACCAGGACCAGTCGATAGGAGCCGAACATTTGTCGGGGGGGGGGGGGGGGGTGCGGTTGCTCGTCCTTCAGCCCACCGGTCTCTGTGGTCTCCAACCAGCTGGACAATCCGGGAGCCGAAGGTGTCCAGGATCGAGTCCTTCCTCTGCAGCTGGTCTGAAAGCAGACCGAAGTCCTCCAGGAGGTCGGAGATCTTTGTCTGGACCACCTGTGCAGGTAAGGAAGCGTCTATGAGGGTCACCTGTGACCATGCAGCACACTAAAGTCTCAAAGTCTGAGGACTAAAAGCTTTTATCCGGTAAAATCAGAAAGTTAAAAGTGATCCTTTACTCAAGACCCAAAGAGATCAGAACCTTTAAAACCGGACCAAAACTCTCTGTCCTGCTCTCTGCTACTACAAACTAAAATAAATATTAATAATAAATAAATAAAAACTCAAACATGGTAAAAGTTCAAGTTCAAAGTCATCAGACTCCTATAATACAGCCTTAAAAGTCGTTTAAAATCCGTTAAAATGGGTTAAAACAGTAAGTAACACTTCTGTCTTTGTGCTGGAAAGACTTTAAATTCATCTGATTAGTTTTCAGAAAGTACTGTCTGTGATACTGTCTGTTTTGGAGAGAGGCTTTCGTTGGTTCTGGTGTTGAAATCTCTTGGAATGAAGAGACTTCTGGCAGAGAAACACCCAAATATTTTAATAAGTGAACAGAAAGAGTCAAAACACTAAAACAAGAGTGACTGTGAGGCTGTGATGGACCACGCCTTACTTAGAGCTGAGCACTAATGAACTGAGACTAAGAGGAATGTCTTTATTAGTATTTGGTCGATGATAAGAATAAATTCAGATGTTGACCTACGGATGGTGTGAGGACACGTTACTCTGAAGCTTTTGTTTAGTAATGTGAAGGTTTCAGGTTCTCACTGGTACTGCAGGTTAAAGAGGAGGGAGAGGACACACTTATGGCACAAACTTAACACTGCTCCATCCAAATCATCGGTCAGGGTTTAAACTCAAAGTTTAAAGTTGAGATTCTGTTTTCATGTGTCGCTGAACTCTCAGTTTTGAGGTCAAAAAACGAACCGAGTCCAGAAACTCAAGTCCTTCACCTGATGTACAAAAGGTTAAAGTCCAGGCAGCAGCAGTCGCTGGTTTTGACCCCTTGCTGCGCTGTGTCACCCCCCCACTCTCTACTCCACTCATTTCCTGTCCCACCCAATAACACCCCCCCCCACCACCACCTTTAAAAACTGTGAGATAGCTCCAACAGGTAGATGGAGAAGTTAGTTAACATCATGGAGGTGTTAAATGGAGGATCACGCTGTAGGACCTCATCCTCTCGGGATCTCGAATGTCCACGTTATTAAATTATATCCAATTAAAAATGACTTAAGCCTCCAGAGTCGAGGGTCTTCAGGAAACAGGGGTCTGATTTCAGGGGGAACCACTTTGAGGGTTGAGTCACTCTTCAATTAAAGCAGCATGTCCCCCTTTCAAAGAGGACTTCCTCTGGCCCAGGGATCTAGATTTACAGCCATGTTGTTTGAATAAATAACCAGGTCTAATCCGGTTAGCGCTCTACTTTCATATTACCGTAAATCCAGCTGGTGTATTTTAAGACGAGGCCTCACAAGCGGCGTTAAAGCTGAGTGATAGCAGGAAATCTGAGGGTGTCCTCCCTGCCTCTGCTCCTCTTCTCCTCTTACTCAGATCATGAGCGCTGGTTCCTCCTTCTCTTTCCACGCCTGTTTTTTTCCACTGCACAAGTTCAGAACCACCACACCCACCCTGACACATATCATCACCGTCAGAGCGCCAAAGAAAATCCCCAAAAATCCGATCATCAGGATCGAGTTTGAACAGCTGAGCATCGTCCAGACCTGTTTTTAAGTTTCCACGTCGCTGTAAAGTCGAGAGAAGTTGTGAAAAAGTCACAGATGAAAAACTGAGACACTCATCCTCACAGATAACGACAGAGTGGATCTCTGCGTCTCACACAGGATACCAGTTTGTATCCTGTTCAAGAGGAACCCCAACATGGTGATGACAGACGTGTCCATCCTCCTTCATGGGTGTTCCTCTTCACTTTCACTTTGTACTCTCACTTTTACCTGGACCTGCTATCATCTTTTTAGCTGTTTTTACTTTAGATTCCTTCAGTTTCAAGAGTTTCATGGAAGCTGTGCTCGTGTAAGAGGACCAGCTGTGAGTCAAACAGAGTCAGAAACTCAGAAACTGAGCTGCAGGTCTTTGTTATTGAGAGATTTAGAGTCACAGAATAAATGAGTCTAAGTAGATTTGAATGTTTACTGAGACTGCGCCTCTTTTGATGCACGTCTATATTTCATGGTAATTATTGCTTTTGAATGACCGTCTCTGCTGCCATACTTTAAAACTTCGGCTCTTCCAGTTGGTTATTTTTAAGATTAAAGCTGCAGTGGGGAACTTTACGTTTGTGTTGACTTTGGTGCCCCCTGTGGACGAACTGATACCTCCGAGAGTATTTAAAAAGGCTGTTTTTCAGTCGGCTGTCAATCATAACCAAAACCTCACTGCAGGTTTGAGGATTAAAAGTTACTTAGTGGGACTTTATCAGCCTGGATGTTGAGGGTCACCTTTGATTTGGAGGGACACGGTCAGGCATCAGGATCAGTTTCAGTCCATTTCTCCACCAGTGAAGAACTCCTTATAGTGCCTTTAAATGCTGCAGTCATTATTTCCATGACTTACTTCTTTATTATCTCATAAAGAACTTTAAATATAATCATATAAGTGAGTTTTGAACATTTATTGGCAGTGAGGACACTTCAGCAGAGTGTTTCCGAGGATTCAGGAGTCGATCTTTCTCACTCAGGAAGTTTTTAATCAGATAAAGATATTACAGCCTGACTTTAACTCGGCCTGATGAGATGAACTTTTCACTATGATTAGTTTTTATAGTTTCAGGGCACAGAGAGGAGGAAATCCTCCCACCAGTCCTGCGTGAGACTCCCTCTTTATCACTTTCAGGACTCGTGGTCCCGGAGCATGACTGAGGGGAAACCTCACAGCCTTCGTTTGGACGAGGCCACGTAACTTAGTCATGATGTAAACAAGAAAAGGAATGACTCTACACTCCCACGCCAGGGCATGTTTCCTGGGTATTGTACTGTAGAGTAAACACGGCAACCCCATTGGCAAACAGCTGGGTGACTTTATACGGTGACACATCATGTGGTACATGTGGTCGGCGTGTTTTCGCCACAGCAGGCTCAGCTCTGGGAAAAAGGGTATAAAAGGATAAACCCTCTTGTTGATTAAAAGACTCCTCTTTAAAGTTGTTCTCATGATGAGGGTGAAAGGAGATCTTTAAACTGAAGACAAACACGACATGAGCGGTTCCCACCGAGACCTCAGAGTGGACCAGATGATAAAGAGGATCCCCGTCAGAGAGAGTCCGGTTTTATGGAGGCCCTCTGTGTGTCAGGATCATCAACACTGTTAGTTTAATGAAAGCAGTCTGCTTTAAGTGTCATAAAAAAGTGTGGCTATAAACACCAGCTGACCCTAACTGCTGACTTCCTGCGCACAGGTGCGTCGAGTTATCATCCCCCTTAAACGTAAATATACAACATCTGTTCCTGCTGCAGAGGTAAAACTGCAGTCCTGAGATATTTCCTCTGTTAGTGAGAGGAAAAGAGGGTTTCACATGTTTTACAGCAGAGTGGATCTGTTTGGGTTTGACAAAAATCACTGAATTTGAATCATTTTTAGGATTTACTGACAGTTTTGAACATTGACCATAAAATTCAAAAAGGCTCAGATGTGAGAACGTTCATTAGAAGTTCAGCACTTATATTTATAATAGAACACAGTCAGTATTCAGTACCTGGTTATAAGTCTAGTAGAAACCCGGTCCAATATGGCGTACCTCAAAGAACCATACCTGGACCATTGTTGTTTCTTATTTACAGAAATTTAATCATTTCAGAGTCTGAAACTTGAATCCTCTGAGTTTCTTCAGATGATCTGAACTTTTATCAGGAAGTTAAAGTTTTCCTGTCACTCTACTGAAAATATCTGTTTTATTTTATCTTCTCTTTCCAAAAACAGGTGACAAGGTGCTGAACTATTAAAAACAAAGCAGCTAACAGGTGTAGTTATAGTAACAATAATAACGAACTACAACAGACAACAAATAAGAAAGATCCGATAATTTAGGGGTAATCAAAGTTTTATCCAAACTAATTATCTATAAGAGAATAAGAGTTTTTTTTAGTGAGCTTCAGTAAAGATTTAAGAACAGATGCTAAAAATGGTTTGTCTTTCAGTTTGTCTCAGTTTGTACAGAGACGTTGTGCTTTTCTCATCCCTGACATGTTAAAGTCCTGTGACAAAAAAAACAAACAAAAAAACATGTAGAAATTATGAAATTAGGACTTTTTCTTTAGTAGTTTAGTGATATTTACCCCCTTACCCTGGTTATAGTTACAGCTATAAACTCCTCAGTCTTGTTGCTGATGGTCCCACTGGCCTCTTTATTTCATTAGAGGACATTAATTTACATTTCATTGTCTTTTAAGAGGGAAAAAAACCTCTGATAGGAGCTTTAAAGTCTGACACAAGTTTAAAATACTGAATATGACCTTTTCTAACACTGATATGTGTTCCCTGGTTTAGGCCCTAAACAAAAAACACTAAACAGGTTCATCATCTAATAAATATTGTCCTGGTTCTGTTTCTATGGTGCTTCAACTCTCCACGAATGTTCTGACTGATCTGAATCAGAGGTTATGATTATTAGTTTTTCTGTGAAATCAGCTGAGCTCAGGGGAAATCCTGACTGTACAGTAACCTTACACAACCAGAGAGAGAGAGGAAGAGAGAGAGAGACAGAGAGAGAGAGAGAGAGAGAGAGAGAGAGGCCGACACATGAGCGGAGCTGGCACACAGGGCACGTCAGAGCAGGGAGGGGTTCGAGTGAAAAAACGATCCTGCTGCTGATCTATGGTGACGTCATGTTAAACAGAGACACTCCTCATGACTCACACACACACACACACACACACACACACACACACACACACACACACACACACACATCTCCAAAGTGAAACAACATGGAGCAGACTGACACAGACGTGTTTATTTGTGTATATAGCAACACTCAGCTATGAATACATCCTCGGCGTGTTGCCGGGTCGACTCCTTCAGAACTCCAGAGACAGAAATAAAGTCACCCTGCAGGTGGAAGTTCAGAGTCCTTTACTGACTGACCCCTCTGAGTTCAGCTCTGACTTCTCAGCACTTAACCGTCAGTGTAAGAGGGTCAGCAGGTAGTGAGCAGTCATTAGGAAGCTGTAATGGACGACTTCTCTCTGCAGCGACCGACTGGAAATGTGAGCGGATGATTTAAGAGGATCATAATAAAGTTTAATTTAGAGCTGGAGGAACTGTAGAAAGGCGGGCGAGCGTCTCTGCTGTACAAACATGAAGTCAAATGAGTCCTGATGATGATGAGTGCTGACGAGTGTTGGTGATGTTTTGGAGAATACTGATGCTCCACCCAAACACCATCATTAACTCTAATTATAATGAATGAAACCAAACCAGTCTGACCATCACCTCAGATGGGTCATGATTTCTCGTTGTTTTTGCTCGTGTCTGGTTGTAATGTGGTACTCCAGGCTGCCGGGGGCTGTAGCGAGTCCAGCAGCTGTTCGCTAATCACATTAAAAACAAGAGAAGAAGAAGAAGAAGAACGCTAACTGCATTTAATAACAAAAGGAGAAGAAAACACGAGGGTGAGGTGTTAAAAATATTTGTCAGTTTGTGATGAACAGGAAGCTCCTCGCCCCGGCGTTATTTCAGACCACTGTCACATGACCGTTACCGTTACTGTTACTCCTCTAATAAACGTTAGCTATCATGACAGAAACCAAGTCGAGGCGAAATGCAGCCAGCCAGTAGGGGGCACTCCAGCTGTTTTGGCCTCACTTTTATGCAGTAGTCATTTGTCTTTCCGTACAGTCAGTGAGCGCATTAATGTCAGCTGATAATAAAAATGATCCGATCTGATTTACAGCTCAATATTTAAAAAGATGTGAAGCAGCAGCTCTGCCTTTGATTAAAGTGATTTTAGGTTTAAAATCACTTATCACTAATCACTTTAAAAGGTTCTCTTACCTGAATATGAACCTTTAAGTCCGATTTAACATGGTAAATGTGGAAGTTTAGACTCCTCTGTTAAAGACATTTTTGCATGGATCATAACAAACCGTACAGAGCAGAGGAAAAGTATAATTTAATAACATTTTAATTTTATTGAATACATCCTGAAACACTGGACATTACTTAGCCTTAGAAATGTAAAAGTATGTAAAAGTACTTCATCCATGTTAAAGATGTGGTCAGGGCAGTGAAGCCCACCAGGTCTAGGTTGTTTTTTTTCTGGGGTGAGTATCGACTCGTATTCCTTCTCTAATCTTTATTTAAAACAGCGTGAGAGCAGCAGGAAGCCTTTATTAAAAGATGACAGGCTGTAATTAACTTTCATTTAATTATAGCATGTCAGTGGGACACACAGCAGAGTCAGAGGAAGTGACCCCGGTGTGTGTGTGTGTGTGTGTGTGGTAGGTAAATCTGAAACTGAACACAGGTGACGTCTGAGTGAGAAATACAAACAACATGTACCTGCTGGTCAGAGTCTGTTAAAGACCAAAGCTGAGAGTGATCGCAGTCAGAGGGTTCTATGATTTTACTGAGTATGTTTGTGAGAAATCCTAACATACAGTAAGTACAGTAGAGTATAGTATAGTATAGTATCATATGGTATAGTGTACTTTAGTATAATGCAGTATGCTATAGTGAAGTATTGTATGGTATGTATGATATGGTATAGTATGGCATAGTACAGTACAGTTTATTATCATACTCTATGTTATGGTGTAGTTAACTATTATATGGCATGGAATGGTATAGTTTAGAAAAGTATAGTATAGTATAGTATAGTATAGTATAGTATAGTGAAGTATATTGTAGTATAGACTAGTATAATACAGTATAGAATATTATAGTACAGTATAGAATAGTGTAGTTTGGTATAGTATAGTGTAGTATTGTATAGTATAGTGTAGTATAGAATAGTACAGTAGGATTCAGTATAGTATAGTACAGTATAGTATAGTATAGTATGGTAAAGTATATTTGTATTTAATTGTATAGTAACGTTTCTAAGTGGAACAGTGTTGTTGTTGTTGTTGTTGTTGTTGTTTTGTTGTCGATGAGGACAGATTCAGCCGACAGAGTTTTAAAGATTTTTATTGTCATTTAATCATTTCACACAAAATTCACACGTACAGAAACTTTACAGGAATAAATACAAACAAAATCAGTTTAAGTTTGTTTCTGATTATATGAATGTTTTTTTTTCTATATTCTGGCCAAATTCAGGAGGAAACCAAGTTTAACACTGGAGGAAAACAGCAGTCATTTTTTATAGAAAATGTTGTAAATAAAGTTGTAGAATTTTGAGAAAGAAGTCGTAACTTTAGGAGATAAGTCTGTTTGAGAAAAACTCGTTAGTTTATAAGAGAAAGATGTTAGTTTGAGTCAGTGGTTATTTTTCAGGGACTAAGGACAGAGTAACCTGCTGTCTGAGCTCAAACCAGGGATGTGGATCATCTTCTGAAGTTCTGCTCCAGTACCGGCTTTCTTATTAATGTTCCTGTCTAATCCTGTTTGGACAACATTCGTCTGGGATTATTTCTCTTTTACACATTATCTTTGGCTCCTCCATGCTCCCTGTAAGTTGAATCTTTTGGCAGTATGATGGTTAATTTCTCAGTAAAATAAAAAACACATATATTTGTGTTGGTGCTGCACTGCAAGGATACTCACTCTCTTCACTGCTGGATCAATGGACCAGATAATCTATTAATTATATTAATTAATCATCCTTCCTGCAGAACAGAGTCAGTGTGGAGGTTTACACACAGCACTAATGAGCGATGGTAAACTGAATTATCTGAAATAAAACCTCTGAGTGAATAAAACTGAGCCACAGACGGTTTTTAAGTCTCCTGGTAACTCGGTGTCTGTGGATTACAGCTCAATGTTGCCACCTAGTGGTGATTTGAGGACCCTGCAGGTCTGGAGCGGAGGACTTGTTGATATTCCCTCCACATTGTAACCGATTTCAAATGGTGCTAGACATGATGGAAACTCTGAACACCAGACGAAAACGGTCAGCCTTGATGAGAGGGGGTCAGACAGGCGTGAGAGAGGGTCCGTCCAACGCCACGCTGAAGAGAGAGAGAGAGAGAGAGAGAGAGAGGTGCAGAGGGCTGATCGAACACAGGATTATGTACCTCATAAAGACTCGTGTTTCTCTAAACTGTGCATGAAAGACGCCACCACACCGCAGCCGTCCACGTTCTGGCGAGAATGAGGTCACCGCCGTCGTCCGTCCTGAAGTCTGTTCCCCCTCAAAGGACACCGATTTCAAATGGTGCTAGATGGGATTTCATACTCTAAGACACCACCTGAAACCGGTTCCCTGGGGAGGACGCCTTTAGAGGAAACGCGCTGAGAAGAACCGTCGTCCTCCGCCATCAGAAAGAAAAACATTCATGTCGTCATTTTCCCCTGAGACTCAGCTGTTCCAGAAATAATGGATGTCGAAGGCGTTTTTCAGTAACACACTCGATAAAAGAGGCTGATTCTGTTAGGCGGGAACAATTTAGTCTGTGTGAAGGAACGTAATGAAATCTGAGCTAAGTGAGTTTCTCATTAGACAGATGTTTGTCTCCAAACTGCTGAATAAAGTCTCTCTCTCTCTCTTCACTCTCTGTGAAGACCTCTGTACGCCCGTGTGAACCTCTGCTCATTGTTTGAATCTGGGCTTTCTATTCTAGGTGTGGTGTTGAAACGGGATAAAGAGGCGGTTAGATAACCATCGATTAAACTTTTGGTTGTTTTGGAGGAACTAGACTAACACCAGGAAGTAAAATACACAAGACGTATCGAAAACTAACATGAGAGCCACACTGTTGGATTCTCAGGTCCGGACTGAAGACTGTATATTGTTAGTCATTAAACTGTTTCCAGAACAAATTCCTCCCTAAAGGAGAACCTCGGCCCGATCCCAGTCCTCCTGTAAGTGCTGAACCTCTGCAGACTGTGGTCATGTCCGGTGTGAACTACATGAAGGTAACGCTGCGAGTCTATCGATCGGAATCTGACACAACAGAAAACTCATCGTGTATTTTAACTGTTCAGTTTTCAGCTGTGACAGCGACCTACGCTAACCCATCTGTGTGACTCCAACGTGGAAAATAGAGACCGACTGTTTGACTGAATAAACTCGAGGAGTGTCGGTTTGTTTAGACTCAGACACTTAAGAAAACGTGATCAGAAGAGGTTCAGTGGATCAGTTTACTCTGACTGGGACTCAAACTGATTCGAAATTAGGGCCTGAACGGTTTATCGACGAGCCGATTAAATCCGCCAATTTTAGCCCGTTTGAGACTAATCTGTAATCGGCCAAAACTCGCCGATTTTCGCTGATATTTTCATAAACAAAATGCGGAGAATAAGATTCGGTTTCACTTTGAAAATGTTCCTCCATTTGAGAAGTTCCCCGACTTCTCCTGTAGATGGCGCTACAGCGACCTCATGCCGATCTTCATCCACTAACTCCCTCACAGCACAGCAGAGTGAGGATCTGAAGCAGCAGCTCAGGGACACGGAGGAGAGTGGTCCACCTCAACGGGAAATAAACCCGTTTGTCAAAAACACAATAAGTCAACAAGTTTCAGTTCAACCCACTTCACCATGTTCCCCCCTGGGCTGGTCTCGGTCACGCCCACTTAACGCTGAAGCACCATGGGATATGAAGCTAACATTAGAGTTAGCCACCTGCTATTAGCCTAGCTACACTGTTAGCCGTGTCAGTAACGGTAGAATAAACAACAGAACACATTAGTGATCGAGCGACTTCTCTGACTGAGGCAGCTGCATGTCTGCAGATCAGACCGGAAATGAGGAACGGGAGTGAAGACGAGGAGACACCGATCAGTCGGTCTTCCTGTCGGTGTGAAGAGCTTTTCTATAACTTCATAAAAAATTAAAAAAATTGGCTGATTAATGGGTAATCTATCGATCAGTCGATCTATCGGTCGGGGCCTAGTTAAAAAGTCCACATGTGAGTCCTCAGATGCACATTTGATGATTTAACTTCGAGACAGCTCTGAGAACTCTTCGGTTACGTCCCTCAAAGTGGACAGTAGAGATCGGTTTGGGTCTTGGTCGTCATGTTTGATTGGTTTAGTTTTCGTTTGTTTTTTAATCTGTTTTTTTCTTCAGTTTAATACGGACCGTCAGGCAGACGCTTTATCAGACAGTAGAGTATAAAAGCAGAGCTGAACCTTCACCAACTGAAGCTGTAAAAACTGATGACGTCTACAATTTAGAGTCAACCAACTTCCCTCTAATTCCTGCTGACGTCTTTAAAAAAAACCTGCAGCACCATCTAGTGGACTGAGAGACCAACTGTTTTCCATCACTTCAACACTGTCGACTTTGTTTTTTCCTCATAATTTCCTTATTTAAGGATCAGTACTCGGTGTCCATGTAAAAAAGCATTCATATCACACAAAGTTAACGGGTTTTTATCCCGTATTAAAATTTCCTCTAACAGGCGGATGTTTTTGAGATCCGCCCAGAGATCCACATCTGACCTGTCACTCCTGTCCTTTAAACCCTGAGTTATAGATTTTTAAGAGACATAAATAGAAGCAGAAACAGGAAGACGCTGACTGGAGTCTGAGTCATGGTCAGCCTCTCTAAGGATGACACAGCATCTTCACAAGTGCGTCAGGTTTTTGAGATCCCAGTTTGAGAAGTGGCCCACTGAAGACGACCTCTCAGAATCTCTCTCTGGACAAAAACAAAGACCTCTGCAGCTCCCTGAGACCTCTCTGAGATTCACTTTAGGATACCGTGTCCTCTCCTGGTTCTGCCTCAGGCCTCCGGTCCAGAAGGGGGCCTCACAGGATGGACACCCAGGCCCTGAAATAGGTAAAAACTGGTTAGTGTGAATCTCTGCTGTTGAACGAGCGTCTTTGGAGACCTCACATGAAGCCGTCTGTTTTTATCCTGAACAGACAGTTAAAGCAGAAAACCCTCCCTGGAGTCTGTCAGTAGTTCTGTCTTATCTCCCTCGTACGGCAGCGGGTGTTTGTCCTGTTGATGGCGAAGGTGACGTAGTAACTAATCCAAAACCTTCATGTGTCTTTCAGGGACAATTTCCCTGCCTAATCCTCTCACTGCTGCTTCAGTGTCCGGGCTGCTAAAACAGGAGCTGTTTGCTGTTTTCCTCTCTGATAGCTGAATGTAGGCCTCCTCCTCCTCCTCCTGATTAATGAAATCTTAAACTTTTTCACAAATGCTCGCAGGAGTACGATGAAAACAGAGTGAGCTGTAAAACAGACAGTGAAGCCTGAAGGCTGTGACCCTGTTTTCATCCGTGTTTCTCTCGAACCATGAGCCCTTTGTGTTTTGTGCAGAGACGCTGATTTCTGCACCGAGCTTTAAATTTGCCAAGTCACCAGACCGTCTGCTCTCTGTGAAAGACCAATCAGCGAATTTTACAACCAACTACTTTAAAAAAACTTGAGATAAACTCTGAACCTGAAACTTATTTATTCATCCTCAGTAGGAACAGATGCTACATATAAAGTTGAATACGTGTGAACGTCCTCCATCAGAGACAAAAACTAAACATCTGATTCCAATTACAGAAGAACGTCCATTTGGTTCAAACAAGATTAACCGTGTGCATCAGGCAGAACCGACGTTTCATTAGAGGTAGCATTGTTTCCCAGGGAGGAGGAGCTGAGCGACACCGAGCGTCGTTTCTGTTTAATGAAGTCGTGATTTAAAAAGGTGAAAATAGGATTATGAAGCTGCGCAGCTGTTCGAAATCTTCATAAAATAAAATGAAATAACAGGTTTTTTTTTTCCGTACTAAAGTTCAGAAGTTTTGGTGTTCAGAGTTCTGTGTTGTTACTGTAGCGCCCTCTGCTGGTGCCGCCTCAGACTTGTGCGTATCGATGCTAGCTTACTGTCTCAGTGATACAAAGATGAGCTAAACCTCGACGTTAAATATGATTGTTTCAGTTGGATGAATCTGTTGGTTGTTTCTTTCAAGGAGAATCTCTGACTTTGACTTTGAGTTTGTTACGTTAGCGAAAATGTCGTTTAATTTCATGTTGTGGCCTGTTGTTAGTTTTTTGTTTTCTCTCTCTGTTACAGATTTTTTCTGACGCTTATTCCTTCAAAAGTGGCTCTGAGAGCTAAAATGTGTCTTATTTAATTTACTGCAAATAAACTGTGTTGTTCTCATCACTCAAAGCGAGAGAGGAATTCGGCGACACAACCGGCTAGCTAACTAACTAGCTAGCTAACTAACTAACTAACTAACTAACTCACTCATTAACTAACTCACTCACTCACTCACTCATTAACTAACTAACTAACTAACTAACTAACTTACTAGCTAACCAACTAGCTAACTAACTAACTGACTCATTAACTAAGTAACTAACCAGCTAACTAACTGACTCATTAACTAAGTAACTAACCAGCTAACTAACTGACTCATTAACTAAGTAACTAACTTACTAACACTATTGTAAGATGTAGATTCAGGCTAACGGTAACATTAGCTTTGAAGAGTTTGAGCGAAATACGAAAATACATTGGAACAACTTTTGCAACGACCCAAAACGCCGAATCGTGATGACAGAAGGACTTTTTAACGAGCGACGGCTTCATGACGTAGAGAACTGTTGTGTGCAGAGCAAAAACGGTATGAAAGTTCGGCAGGTTGTCCGAACTTTCGGACTCTGACATCGTCTTTAAACAGAAATAAGTGCAGCTAATAACCGGCTCTCAAACTCTGTTTCTCAACACACGAAAAACCTTCACTGTGAACCTTTTATTGTTTCAGCGGAAGGCTGGAGAAGTTGCCCTTTGACCCTGGAGATAAATATAGATATATAGATATAGATTATATTACCATCCGACCATAACTGACAGGCTCTGAGACGATAAGTATGAAGATAATATAGACAGAAACATGTTTTTAGTCACTAAATTATAAATAAAGGTGTTTAAGAGCTGATTCTTCCCTCTTTGTTTTTATTCTTCTCTCTCTTCTTTCTCTAATCTGCCGAAATCTCTCGCCGCTCTTTGACCTGAACACGACCCCGACATGAAACACGGGTATTTAGGCCTGTTAGTTCACGCACAATAACCTCCACACGTTGGAAAATCTTCCACAAACCTGCCAAATGGCTCCGACAACAGCCATGTAAAAGTAGGTTAAGTTACAGGAACAGTGCATGTCTGTGTGTAACAGTGGAGGGGGCGGGGCCGTGCGCATGTGTGCACGTGCAAATGGGGAAGGTGGTTAATCCTCTTACAGATTAGAGGTCCTAATTTATCAGGAGTGAGGGGGGCAAACTCATCGAGGTAATGTGTTTTTAAATCACCTCCAAACACTCGGATCTATCGGAGGAAAACAGATTTGTGTTTCTAAACGAGAGCAGAACGTCTCCGTGACGACCTGAACACAGTCCCACTAATCATTCCCGCTCTTACATAAGAGCCGCCGTCAAAAAAGCCGAATCATAAAGGAATCACGGGGCTGAGAGGGCCAATTAAAGCCAAAGGTAACAGAGCAGACTTCACTTCCTGCTTCTTTAGGACACAGAGTACTCTAAGTACTATTATGCTCCCATTATGTAATCGCTTACATATCTCCTTCTACGTTGCATCATCATCATCTCTCCTTCAGAGCAACAGATTGCCAAATGTTTGGAAATCGGAGATGGGATGGTATAAGGCTGAAACTTCAGAGAACATGCTGGTTAACTCTTTGTCCCCCTCTTCTGGCTCCGGCTCTGCGTGTCTGTCAGATGATGGGAGGGGCTTCGTTCACGGGCTGGATAACTCCAAATAATTGAGGATTTAAAAGTGCCTGAAGGGTGTCCTAACTCTGAGATCAGGTTTCTGAGAAAACACTCAATCTGACTCTTTTTTTCTCTCTCATGTTTTGAAACTTATCTGGACGTAAACACTCTCAAAATTTGACGGAACTTCCCTTTAACCCCCGAAGACGCCACACCTGCAGAGAGAGGCAAAGCGACCAATCAGGAGGTGTCCCTGAAGGGTCTCGGCTCGGTTGATTACGGGGTTTTTCCACCTGTTTTGCAGCCTGTTAGGTGTCCGTCTGATGATGACGACTGTAAACGAACGCTGCCCCCCCCACCCCGCCTGTCTATTAATACATCATCATCATAATCATCATCATCATCATCATCATCGTCGTCGTCGTCGTCGTCGAGCAGCGAGGCCAGCAGTCTCCAGGTTTAATTTTAGCCCCGTCATCTCTTGGCTCGCCGCCACCTGCGATAATCTGTGTGTGGGAGGGGTCTGTTTGAAGAGGCAGTGGGTCACTCGCCATTTCCTCTCGTCTGGGGGGCTACAGGTGATGCCCCGCCCCCCTTTCCCTGCTCCTGCTGCTGTAAACATCCATCATTAGAGCCCCCCCCTCCTCTCGTCCCTGAGCGGCGTTCACTCCGTCTGAAAAGAGCAGGATCTTTTCTTCTTCTTCTTCTTCTCTGAATAAAAGGAGGTCTCGCTCGTTTAGCCCACTTGTTCTGGCCTCGTCTGTTTGTTTGACTTCAGCGCCCCTCCCTGAAAGAACAGCAACATAACTATTGAGGTCACGTTTCCTTGTGTGTGAAAGTGGGTCACTTGTTCTGGAGTTGGGCCCCAGTGGAGATGGTAAACATGAGGACTGACGGTAAATTCAAACCCGCGTCTGAGAGTCTTTCTTCGTTTCCAGCCGTGACCTTTACCTGTTTGTTTCAAAACTACCATAGTGACTTTCCCTGGGGAGTCAAGTTTCTATTCAGTACACATAATTAAAGCTCGAAAGCTCCCCCCTCCCCTCCTCTCTCTCTCTCTCTCTCTCTCTCTCTCTCTCCAATCCGCTGCCAGTGCTTTAACAGCTCGTGAGGTCGACCGCTGATTCACCCACTGACTGAACAAATCCACTTTACAAGAACTGTGTCTCATTTACGCCGTCATCAGAGGAGGGGCTTCCTTCACATGGGGGTGTCATCCACCTGAGTGACATCACATCAGGTGTGTCGGGGTCCTATTGTGCTGCGTTACACAAACATGCTGGGTGTTTGTCAGAGAGCAGCAACAGTTTGGAGACTTTAAAACTCCAGAAATGTTAAAGATTAAAGAGTCTTTGACTTTAGGAGAGGACGGGTTCGAGTCCTGGAGGAGCAGAAACCGGGTCAGGTGAGAGAGTCCAAGTGTTGAATGTTCTGGAGAAAACCAAGAACATGAGAATGTAAACAGCCCCTTATAGAAGATATACATCCCCATTGTTTTCTGACTCAACAGCGCCCCCTGTGGTCAGTAAATCGAGCTTGTTTTCATCATATCAAGTGCGCACTAACAGTCAGATTCCCCCTAAAGAGCTGTGGGGATGTTTGTGACGCAGCAGATGTGGTCTGATACCCCTGAAAACGGAACCAGCCGGGTCACTGTGGACCTGCTTCTCCTGGATCTGAAGTTTTCCTGGACTCTCCGGTAAAAGAACATCCTGTGCCTCATTCTGTGACCATGTTTGGAGAGAGTCCGCATCCTGAATCAGTGCAGAGAGACTTCTGCGGGCGGTCAGTCCGAAACACGAGGTGTGAAATGATCGTGCCAATCCCAACTGCGTAACATCGTCCTCCTCTCCACAACAGGATTACGCACTGTGTCCATCTCTTGCGCAGCATCCTATTCCGAGCTCTCTCTCTCTCTCTCACTCTCTCTCTCTCTCTCACGCCATGCCCCCCTCCACCGCCGACTCCACGCTTTGTTTACATCTTTATTTCTTCACATTAATAATCAGATTCGAGTCCAGTTCGGAGCCGAGCCGAACCCGGACCTTCACAGCATGTTGGTCCATCCCAGCAGCGGAAATTCCCCCCGGACTCCATGTGTTTGTCGGTCCCTCCGCTGACGCAGTTTAATTTACCTGTTGTCATGTCGGTGATGAAACACTCACGATCTACTCCAACTCTTCTCTGTCCTCTCAGAGACAGACCCTCTCCCTCTTTCCTCTCTTTTCTCTCTTTTCTCTCTTTTCTCTCCACTTTTCTCTCTTTCTCGGTTTTTCTCCTCATACGCAGCGTTTCTCTCGCTCTGCTCCTTTTAATGAAAACATGAAAAATCACAAACTTACGTCTTTGTGTCCCGGACAGAAGGGTCTCTGAGGGTCTCATCCATCCCGGAGCCGGTGTCCCCCCCCCTCAGACCTCCATCAGTCCGTCAGTCCCCCCTGTTCTTCCTCTTGTTGTTGTTTTATTCAGAGAGCGCACATTCATCCAAGTGGATCCTCTAATGATTTTCCATAGCGCAACACGGAGCGGACACGCCCCTGACACTCCCCCGCTTTCTGATTGGTCGAGCAGCTGGAGAGTCTTTCCTCATCACATGTGGCTGACGCATGTTTACAAACATCGGTGAGGTCACATGGTTTTACCGTAAACTACCTCATTTTGACGCAGCTCCCAGATGTCGTGACGAGCTTCTATTCTCTCCATTATCTCTGTTTTTTTTCTCTCTCGATGATAAAATGAGAAAATGAAATTATTGTATTATTTTAAATCCTTATCAAAGTACAAACGAGAGTCTGCTGAGGGGGACTTCATGTTATCTTTAATTCCTGACACACTGATTTGTTAAAAAAAAGATCCTTTTTAAGATGTTTTTAATATCTTTTTGTGTCATTTTCAGCCCCCTGATATTCCTCTGATCCTGTCAAAGATATAAAATCTCCTTTAGTCAAATAAAAAACTGCTGTTTCACTCTAAATGGGTCACTGATAACCTCCATCCTCCTTGTTTATCCTGTTTTATTGAAAACAGAGTCTGATAAAATAAGGTCATCTCTTCAGAAACATCAGTATTATCGTCCTTTTAGAAATCAGTGTTCATTAAATATTAAATATTGATGTTCTTTAACCATAAATCACAGAAATCAGGAGGTGACGTGACAAAAAAGTGTCTGAACTGCAGTCATGTTTTTTAGACACTAGGTGGCGCTGTGAGGCAGCAGGGACACAGACGTGACTTCATCTGGTTTATCACTATTGTTCAAAAACAATAACACTAAATCATGATTATAGACTCCGGTGAAATATCTACATGAACTTTAACCTGGTTTAACTGATCTAGTCCCAATGGACCAGAACCAGACCAGAACTTGACCAGAACCAGACCAGAACTTGACCAGAACCAGCATCTTTGTGGGTCACAGTTTACCCCATAATACACAGAATTTAGTTTAATATCTCTGAGAAAATCCTCAAATGGGACAACAGTCGTATTTATCTTTACTGTCGATATTACAAAGCCACAAAATAAAAAGTTCAATAATATTTAGGATGTTTTTTAGACGGAGGTTTACCTTCCTGTATTTTAACTTTCATGTTTTTAACTTTTAAAACTGTTTAAATAACATTTATATAAGAGGCTGTAACATTGGATTAAAATCTGATGATTAATCCCACTCACACATTATTATTACAGTTTATGAATTCAGAGGAAAAACGTGTTTAAAGTTTCTGTGAATCATAAACCGCAGAGACTCCTCAGTTTTAGTCATAAACAGATAAAAAAACAGATATCAGCTCATTTTTCTCTCTTATCCGTGAAACGAGGCTCGATGGTTATTTTTAAGGTGATTTACGGTAACTGGGGTGACTCACAGCTCAACTTCACGAGAACTTACGGTAAATACATCATTACATGATGTCATCGGCATTTTGGCGGGAACTCGGCCTAAATTCCCGGGAAAACCTTCATTTCCCGGGAAAACCTTAATTTTCCGGTCTGCTGTGAAAACAAACTCCTCCATCTAAAGTTTTTTTTCCTTCCTGTGTTTAAAGAAGTTCCTCAACAACTTCAGTGAGTAAAACTGTGTTTTCAGAACCAAACATGTTAAAATAAACACAAAAACAGGAGTTTAAGTGAGACTGAGTAGAAAAATCTCACTTTAGAAAACCAAAACAGACAAAATGGAAGTGACAGAAATCCATTATTTACCTCTTTAATATAAAGAAAGACTAAAGTCATAGTTAGAGGTTGAAAAATAATATTATTGAACAAAATCTAAGGCGTTTTTGTATAAATTATCCTCTGAGATAATTAATTTAATGTTTGTTGGTCCATGTGGTCAAAGGAAGCATAACTAACAGGACTGAGAACTGTGGAAGCAAATTTGTCTCATAATTCAACAGAAAATAGAAGAACAGAAATGGTTTTATTAAAGTATCAGAAAGTACTTCTTAAAAAATAATGCTCTGTTTAGTTTCTTTTTTGAGTTGTGTTAGGAAATGTGCAGCTCAAATAAGAAAATGAAAATACAGTTTTTTTAAATTTATTCTTAATTTCATTTCTGATCAAATTATGCAGTTTTGACTTTAGAACGAAGAAACCATTCAGCAAATGCATTTAAATTTTCAGATTTGACATTTCTAATTGAGTTGTGGTTCATATTTACTGGGACATATTTAGAAAATTAAATCTCAAATGGATTTTATTTTACATTTGAATTAAGTTACAGAATAATCAGTTTTGAAAAAGAAAAAGAAATTGAAGTTTATTTTTAAATAAGGAGTCATTCTGAAAATAAAAATGTGTTTCTATGAATCTGTTTTCATTTGAATGATGAGACAAATGTGCCTCCATAGAGAACCTCCAGCAGGTGGAGCTGTAACACTGTTTACTGGATCTGCTTGGAAACTCAAAGAGCTCATAAAGCTGTATCCAAAGTCCTCTCTCCGTATACTGTAGTTTTCACTCAGTCAGACATGTCCTGAAGATGCAGATGAGCACCTCCACTCCTTTAACACGGGGCCATGCTGCTGTGATACCTGCAGACTCTAGTTTGGCATCTTTTTGCTGTATTTTTGTCCCTAAATTGTCCCTAAAAAAATTCTTTGCTTGGATGGCAGCGTGTGTGCTCCAAACCCTGCAGGTGTTTTTCAGCATTAATCGTGTTTTCCTGGATGTGCAAACTGGCCATGCTCTGCACACTTCTGCATTCCCATACTATCTGAGGTCCTAGTTTCTGAACTGTGTGCTGATAACAAGCATTTAGTCCCTCTCTTCTTCAGAGCAAGCGTCCATGATTTCAGTCAGGAGTGTCTGTATATTTTAAAAAGGTTTTTTTTTGTGGAGGAAAGGAAGTGAACAGAGCAGGAAACAGGGAGGAAGACTGAGGGCTGACAGGAAAGGAGCCCCCCAGGAGCACGCTCGCACAGGGCCGATACTTTTTCAGTTTCAGTTTTTGACTTTTTACCTTTGCAGTATTTTCTATAAACAAGCCTCAACCAAAACGCCACTATATAGCCACAAATAATGCTCAGAACAGCACCTAACTTCATCAACAGGACATATAGGGTCACAGCGAGACCTCAGGCCAGTCCATTACGGACTACAGCGGGGTGCCGCAGCTCAAGGAAGAACATTTATGATCATTTCTTTATCATTTCCTTGAAGTAATAATCACCATATTAATCATTTTACAGACGCGATAGTTCTTCTGTCTTAGCGTCTCGGTCTGATTGTGTTTCCATGAAGAAATGATGGTGTTATGGTGTGTTTGACCCTGAATTAATTTTACGACGGAATATTCCTTTAAAGTCTGTTTTTATCTCCAACCCTTCTAAAATAGAGTCTGTAACAGGTCAACTAGTGAAGTGACATATGAAATACAAACCACAGCCCCCCCCCCAAACAATCCGAGCTGTCATTGTTGTCGGCACACTCGCCCTGATACTTGTTGTTGTCGTCGCAGTGATGGTGGGCTGTAGTATCATGGCCTTGTTAAGAGTCACCGTCACACTCCTATCAGCAAACACAGCTCTGACCTTTGCACCCCCCCCCCGCTCCACAGCCGGTGTACAGAGAGAGCTCGCCTGTAGCTCAGCGCGCTGGTAAGTGAACCGTAGCTGCAGGCGTGTATGGGCTGTCAGAGCGCCGCAACAAGGGTGGGAAAAGGTCACATCAGCCGGAGTGACAGCAGGAGTTAATGTGCACACAAACGCACACCAAGGCAGGCTTCTCACACCCGGACTGTGTCTCCAGAGTACAGAGAGAGAGAGAGAGAGAGAGAGAGACTATGGCTGTATGGTGTGACTGGATGGGTCCCAAAGGCGGTCTTATTTTTGTGTCAGAGCTTTTGTCGGTGTGAGCATGCGGCCGATACTGAACAATGAGAGCCGTTCTGAGCTGTTGGTTGTTTTTAAGACACGGACTGAACACCTACACATTTACACTATTATAATGATATACTATATCATTTTATATTATGATTATAATGATTTAAGATGGTCTGAGGAAGTTTAAGAGGCCACACCCCCTACATGCACTGGTCATTCCTCCATCACATGATTGACAGATGATTTCTCGAACCCTGGAGGCCACAATTTAGACATTTGAGTCCACCGACTATAGAGAGTCAAGGAAGTTTGGATAATATGATGGGGTAAATATATTTGATCTATAATCGTATTAATATTGAAATAAAAATAGCTGCTAAATGTTATTTTTATTTCATCGACCGTTTAAGGGTCGAGGTTATTCTGGTGGTGGAAGTTTCCTCAGATGTGATTCTGTTTCTTCAGACTCCTGACAGACGGTTTTCTGTAACCAATCAATCATCTATACATCAATTATCAGATATTTTAAAGACCCTTCCAGCTGTTTAGCCGACTGTATTTCTGTTCATTTTATTGCATCAGTGTTTTTACAAGATTTTTTAATACTTCATTCTACAGGAGAAAAGCCACGTTCACCATCACCACTGAAATAAATGTGTTGAAATGTTTTTTAATTGATTTATTTTTCATGGATGTCTGCAGGACAAAACAAAAATATTTACATTTATGTTTGAATTTTAGTTTGTTTAAACTTCCAGTTAATTTCCATAAATTTTCATGGAAATTTACCGGAAATTTTCCGCCCCTTTGCAGCCCTAAAAGCTCCTGTGAGGAACTTTCCGTCAGTGTCAGACGTCTGAGTTCTTCTTCATCATCATCATCATAGTCATCATCATCATCATCATCATCACCATCATCGTCACATCCTTTAGAATTAAGTGTCAAATGTTGTATCAGCTCTATTTTCTCACACTAACACTAAGACAAATCTCGTTACTGTGTTTTTTGTTAATGGCAGACAAAGTTGAGTTCGTCGGTACAGTCCCAGCTCTCCCACCGGGCCACTCCCTTGGACACGGCGCCGCAGCGGCGTATCATTCCAGGGCAGCGGGGCTCGCCCTCTTCCCCCCAGGCATTGTACCAAATCTCCTCCTCCTCCATCCACACCCAGCTACCTCCCAAGTAACGCAGGCCGGTCCACACTCGGGTAGTTTGAGCGTCTGAGATGACCCTCAGGAAGTGGTTCAGAGCGGGTTCAGAGTCCACGCTGACCAGCTGTCTCTTCAGGTCCACACAGTGTTGCCGGGCTCTTTCCCACGTCAGGGTCTTCTTCACCAGAACCAGATCTAGATGAAAGCAGTAGGAGAAGAAACGGTTATCTTCACAGTCCTTTATTTTCCACCCCCGCTTCGTATGCGACACACATCCGTTTTGTCCTGCGTGATCTTCTCTGGAGGTCCAGTTGAAGACCGTTGCTTCTCTCCCGTCGGACCACTTCCATGGACCGTTGTCTTCTCTGTGGAGTCCGATCCAGACGTTCGGCTTCCACGTTGTTCCTCTCTTCTCGCTGAGTCTGTCGTCCTTCAGGTCGTAGATGGAGGACAGATCCGTGTGGTGCGCTCTGCAGTACCTTCTCGCCTCCATCCATGTCCGTACAGTCTCAACTAAAATATCTTTATCTAACAGCACCACCTTTAGGAGACCTGTGAGAAGAACAAGGAACCTCAGAGCACGTTTCCTCATGTCGACTCGATCTTTGTTTGTTTATAACTTCATCCTGTCGTTGGTCTTTTAAGAGACTCGCAGGAGCAGCAGGCGTCCAATCAGAACGCATTTCAAGCTATTATGAAAATAAAGCAGAAGGCTGTGAAGGTCTGACATAAACAAGGACATTCAAATGTTGTCAAATCAGGCTGAGGAGGAAGTGTCCACGTATGACTGCTCTGTATTTGACTGAGCCGTGTCTGTCCTTGGTTTTAATTCAATGTCATTGTCCTCCTCTGGTTACAGTCACACAAATACACACAAAATAACAACAATAACAACAATAATGATAATGATAATAATGATAATAATAATAATAATATTAAAAGGGGGTGGTGAGTGTGCAGCAGACAACATAATGTTTAACAATTTAACAGAGTGACCAGAGAAGGACGAATGATTAATACCAAGAAAACATTTAAGATCCAGTTCAAGTTTTACTCCAGAGAACTTCTCTGTCTCAGTGTGGACAGTAGACTAAAATAGTTTAATAAACGTACATGTCCACATTAAATGGAAATATGTTCCTGGTTGACATTTCTTGCGTGCTGCAGAGCGTGACTTATATTTGCTACGTATTTCAGGAGTCACATGCAGTTAATTATTTTATGTTTCCTGTGATTTGTCTGAACTAGTCATTTTCTCGGTGTAATATAAAACTTTGTGTCAGGTCAGGTCATCTAAGCAGACACCAAAGTCTTTTTACCAACAGTTTTTAATATTAAATATAGTCTTATCGTTCATAAACAGCTGGTTATACACGTGTCATCACTGTCTTATTCATTTTTACAGCTTCCACTATAAAGCTATCAAGAATATTCTGCTTGCTAACACTTTTGTAATATGGTATAGAGTTAAAAAAAAGTCTCTTACTTGTTTAAATTACATATAAATTTATATATATATATATACATATATATATATATATATATATATACATATAGTGATTTTAGTGATCACTGAGAAAGTAATAGTGACACGCTCATCATTGCGACTCAGCGGTAAAAAAACGTTACGCTTATTTCGTGTAAATTCCCGTTTTTTTCCGTACCGCACTATAAACTACAAAACCAGAAATACTCGCAGTAGTTTTCTCAGCATCATGCAGCTAAAACGACAGTCAGTTATTTTTGATAACATGCACCAGATACTTTAATTTGTCCACCTCACTAAGTGATCGAACAGCGATAAGGAACTGTCGTTAAAACACTTATTTACCGTTAAACTTGATTTGATGCTGCAGACAGTTACCAGAGCAGATATGTATTCACTGTAAGCTCTGTTTCCAGATCATATCTTATATTTACATACATAAAATAATTATCAAGTCTGTTCCCCACCATGTATCCTGTCTTATAGGCTTCAAACAGAGTCTTTATAAAGGGATTTATCAGCACAGGTCACATGTGAAGAATAACTCAAATATTCAGTGAACATCTCCATCCTCTGTAAACAAAGTAGACGTCTCCTTCACCTGACTTCACCCAGGGATGTCGTGTTTTGAATGTTCCTAGTCCATTTTCAAATATGATCATCCAAACTGACGTCTCTCTTCTGCATCTCATTCAAAACATGGATTTGCATTTTAGGAGACGCTGCCGGTGAAGATGTTCCCGCAGTGTAGCGGCACACTAAAGTGAATATAACTGAAATAAAGTGAATATAACTGAAGTAAAGTGAATATAACTGAAATAAAGTGAATATAACTGAACTAAAGTGAATATTACTGAAGTAAAGTGAATATAACTGAAATAAAGTGAATATAACTGAAGTAAAGTGAATATAACTGAAGTAAAGTGAATATTACTGAAATAAAGTGAATATAACTGAAATAAAAGTGAATATTACTGAAGTAAAAGCTTTTTTAGCAGTAAGGAGACGAGTCGGTCTTGAGGATGCTGATCCCTCTTCATGTTGTTTAGAAATCTCATGTCAGTGGTCTGTTGACTGTTAATGTAAAGTTTGTTGCTGCGCTTCATTATTCACAAAAACAGAGAGGAGGGATGAAGATATAGAGGAAAAATAAATAAAAAACACTGAGGAGATTTAATCCAGAATGAGTCGCATCATAATTCTGATTTTAAAGATGCTGCTCTGTATGAAATGATGCTTCGATTGTTTTTGGTACAGTGAGACGCTGGTTTAGTCAGCTCTTTCAAAACTCTAATAATAATCGTTTTAATGTCTGTATGTTAGGAGGATGACCCAAGGATATTTAAGGTCCACATTTAGCAGAGAAATCCTCCCCTGAAGTAAACAGGTTTAATTACCGTATTCTTTGTACTATAAGGAGCACTGAAAATCCTTTTGGTTTGTCGGAGCGCTGCAGCTACTGTAGCCTCGCAGAGTTACTGAATGAGTTAAATAAAGTTTGACTTATCTGACTGTTTTGTTTGGTTTAATGCGCTTTATAACCCGGAGCGCCTTATGTATGAAAATAGACACAAATAGACGTGTTCATTGATGGTACGCCTTATAGTGTGAAAAGTACGGTGACAGTCGTATCGACCTCCTGCAGAGGATCATCTCGATCTCTCATTCCTCCAACCATCAGGCTGGTAAACATTCATCGTTCTCACTGGGACTGAAAAACTTGTTTTTTTTATACTGGTCCGTAAAAACTCAAGAATGTAGACTTAATAGTTCAGATCGATCCACTTTATCTGTGCTGGTATTGTGTGTCATTACCTCCGATGGCCACAGAAGGGCGCCAAAGTGTTGTCTTTTCATGTACAGATGCTCTCTCCTCTCTCTGACATACCTCTGCCTGCTTTGTTTTAGGTCTGGGTGGACTGCAAAACATGAAGAACTACATCTCATCTCCTATCAGGCGTCAAAGGGAGCTTTTTGTCCTTAAAGGCCACCGTCACTTCATCTGCAAGAGGGGTGAGCAAGAAATATCATCATTTCCATAAAGTAATAATCACCATATTAACCATTTTACAGACGCAGAAGTTCTTCTGTCTTAGCGTCTCAGTCTGATTGTATTTCCATGAAGATAATAATCATAAATGTTCTTCCTTCAGCTGCGAAACTCCACTGCACCTCAAAGAAATGATCGCTGCACTCGGTGATCGACTCGTCAGGTCTCTCTACAAACAAGCGTCTGCTGGAAGAGAGTAGGTGAGTTGTGTTTAGTCTCTTTGTTAAAGAAATGAGTCAAAGTTAAAAAGATGTTTGGTGTCTAGTACTATGTCTGTGACCCTATATGTCCTGTTGATGAAGTTAGGTGCTGTTCTGAGCATTATTTGTGGCTATAGAGTGGCGTTTTGGTTGAGGGCGTGGAGGTGTTGCTATCTGTGGTCGTTACTAAAGTTGGTATAACTAGAGAAGCAAGCGGTCGACAACATTCATCTCTGGAGGGGGGGTCTAACTCGGTGTTATGGTGGGTTTGAGAAGTGAAGCCAAAATACGAGCTCAGTCGCCTGGCTGGGCCGTCCTGTTCCGTGAATCACTTGATGTTCCTTCCCACCACAGTCTGGACCTTGGCCCATAGAGAGCGTGTATTCCCGATCAGAAAATAACCGGGCCAATCGGAGACCGTGTTTCCACTGTTACCCGGACAACAGGGATTGGTCCATGTGTAGTGGTGACGTCTAACACATGCTGCGGGACTTTTCAAAGCGCCGTTCATTCAGAACGACGTTAATTCTGCAGTTGACTCTGCAAAGTCGTCAGAAATCGTTTATATCCGACTGTAATCCTGACTTTACTTTGACTGTTGTGTGTTTGTGTGACTCTATCTTTGGACAATAAGAATTTAACTATCAATACATCTCAGTGTTTAACTTTGTTCACATGTTCTCCTGAGTTAAAAACGTAAGGAGCACAAAGAACTTTAGGGGATCAATGAAAACTGATCAATAATGTTTGTCTTATTGATCGACCTTAGTACTGTTATTAGAAATCAATTTTAGGTCTTTTGGTCACATGACAGTGAAGCTATTGAAGGAAAACAGCCTTTTCTGAGAACATCAACCGGTAATTTATTGACGGTCCCTTATTCAACACGGACGTTGACAGTGAGGGTGTCAAGTAGATTTAACCGCGCTGCTGTTGTTATTCCCGGTTATGGAGAGAGAGAAGACACCGGTAGATCCTCAGAGAATGTCCGTCAGATATCCAACCTGAAACTAACTTCACCGCCGTATTTACAGGAAAATATATCCAACCTGAAACTAACTTCACCGCCGTATTTACAGGAAAATATATCCAACCTAAAACTAACTTCACCGCCGTATTTACAGGAAAATATATCCAACCTGAAACTAACTTCACCGCCGTATTTACAGGAAAATATATCCAACCTGAAACTAACTTCACCGCTGTATTTACAGGAAAATATATCCAACCTAAAACTAACTTCACCGCCGTATTTACAGGAAAATATATCCAACCTAAAACTAACTTCACCGCCGTATTTACAGGAAAATATATCCAACCTGAAACTAACTTCACCGCAGTATTTACAGGAAAATATATCCAACCTGAAACTAACTTCACCGCCGTATTTACAGGAAAAAACATTTGTTGATTTTTTTTTTTATGAGCACATGTGACTCTAAAAACATTTGACAGTTCACACACATCTATTTTTAGTTGTAAATGTGAGTGAAACGGTGGCACTGTTGAGACCTGCATTAGAGAAAAAGTGACTTTAAATTTGATAAACCAGGAGAACAGCAGTAAAGTTCAGACCACCTCTGAGGTATTGGAAACAGTCACAGTTTATGATTCAGGCACAGGTACAGAGAAAGAGGCGTATTTACACATGCAGCACAGAGTGAAGCTAAAAAACAGGTTTTACTTTCATATCAACAGACAGACAGAGGCGGTGGTCCTGGGAACGCTGATCCTGCTCTATGTCAGGGATCTATTTTTGTGTTTTTAGTACAGCTGTGTTTGTCGTTCCCAAGAGCAGAGACGAGAGTCAGAAAAACGCTAAAAAAAGAACATTTCAAAAACACTGTACACTTCTGTCACCATGGAAACAAAAGAGGAGGAAACACAGCCTCTCTGAGTTCAACTTTGACCAGAGTCCTTCATTATCACGTCCTCAAGACCTTCAGGTTCAGATGGATCACAGCTGAAGTCGGTCCTGTCGGTGGACAGACAGAGTAAACTCTGATTCTTTACTTGTTTTAGGAAAATTGATCAACTTCTGTTTAAACTCTGAAGGTGAAAAAACTCAAACTTGATCATCTGGAACCTCTGACCAGCACCGAGGTCTGGTATGTAATCGATCCATCCTGACTCTAGACCATCAGAAGTGGAACACAGTCCACCGGGATGTGAGTCCATCCTCAGCTCTGACCTCCCACTCTGAAGGTCATTGAACTCACCGTTAATAAACCGAATATCATGAGGTGTGTACGGACGCGCTCTGATCATGATGTTTGTGGCTGTTTAACATTTACAGGGTGGAAAAATCAAAACTGTTGGTCAGATTGTCGAAGTTTCTGCAGCTCATGATCTGAAACACCGAGAGAGAAGTCCCTGTGATGTTAAGGTTTCAGATTAGAGATCGGTCACCGTGGGAATATTCAACTTTCAGATCTGGTCATCTGTCAGGATCAGGTTTTTGGTTTGTGTGGAGAACATACCCTGAAATAACACCGACAGTACAGTTAGTGTTTTTAGTTTTTAATTCTAGAGGAATCTGTGATAGTCGTAACTCTGACGATCTCCTGAACACACGACGAGCTTCTTGGATTCGGTTCATCGTGTCTTTTTGATAAATTACGATCAGATGTTCTTACAGACACAGGTTTTTATTTACCTCGCTGACGTGTTTCGACGCACTGACAGCAGTCTTCCTCAGAGCGTCACGTGACGGTTGTGTGATGCGTCTATAAACAGCTGATGTTTCTAAAGGCGTGACCTTTCTGTCCGTTTGACAGGACGACTGCTGTCAGCCAATCGAAACACGACAGCGAGGTAAATAAACCTGTGTCTGTAAGAACATCTGATCGTAACACAACCAGCTGCTTCACGGACATTTCCATGAAATTTCAGGAGCTTTGGCCCAAATTTTCCTGAGTGTTCCCTTTCAGACCGGTGGGGAGGACCTGAAACCCAGAATCAGGGACTCTGTAGACCGGTCTTTAGTTTTCAGAGGAAGAGAGTCGTGTGAAAATGACTGAAGGTGTAAAAAAGTAAAAAAAGAGGCGACAGAAACAGAAACTGACATTTCTTCATCATTAAATCAATCAGTCCTTTTCACAAATCCTGCTCTAGAGTCGACAGCCCGACTTCATCTGGAGTAAATTAAAAAAACAAAGTTCTTCATCAGGGACCAAAAAAAAAAACATATTTGGTTTTAATTGATGATTTAAAATATTTAAAACTAAAACGGTCCCAAACACAAACCGGCTCCTAAACCTTCACATTACAGGAGCTTCATCATCATCATCATCATCACGGTTTCCTTCAGGGTCCAGAGAGGGTCAGGTGAGGAAGAGGGAAGGCGGCGGGCGGGGGGTGTCAGGTTATAACGGTCTCAGTGTGTGGACAGTCTCTGAGGCAGCAGAGGAGGATTGTGGGTAGTGAGTGAGTCCCGGCGGGTGAGGGGTAAAACAGGAGGTCCGGGGCGTCGTGATTCACATCTCGGTGTCAGCCTGGGGGGTCTGGTTGGCGGAGTGTCCGTTAGTGGCGGGGGCGGGGGTGTTCCCGTTCTCTGGTGGAGACTCGCCGTTGACGGTGGGCTTATCGAGGGGCTCCTGGGGCAGGGGGGCCACCGACACCAGGGTGTTAGCCTGGTTCTCCTCGTCCACCTGGAAGGCGTCGGCCTGAGGAGAAACACAGACGTGAACTTTTTAAAGATGACTCAGCACTTTTTCTACCGAACAGGAACCTGAAAGTTCAGAGTCGGCGTTTTTCAGGGTTTGTGATCGTGAATCAGACGGTCAGTTTCTGCATCGGGATCTTCTCCAGATACCAAGTGGATGACGTGATGTTGGCTGAACATCATGTGACTCCGCCCATAATAAACACGACCCATAATGCATTTGGAGGGGAATCACAGGTGCTGTTTTTATTAGAGCGGGGCGTTTCAGCCTCGAACCCTCCTGAGGATTATGGGAACATTTGACTTTGATCAGAATAAACAGTTTGTTGTTTTTCACCCTCATGGTTAGATGTCAGGGTCTGAACAGTCGGTTTGTTTAACTATTAAAGCTGAAATATTTTAAAAATCACAGAAAAACTTTAATTTTAGTTTCTTTAAATCTGCCGTCTCTGCCGTCTTTGGAGCTGTGTCCTGTTGAAACTCCTGATCATGGCGTCACCTTTAATCAGTGATACTGTTGTTTTTCACTCTTTACTGTTTTTTAATTCTTTTTTATTCAGTTTAAAAACGTGTAAAAAAACAAACAGACCCGCCGTGTTTCTCTGGTTGAAGCTCCTGGAGTCTCTCAGCAGGTTTTTATTAGGATCGTTTTTCTGTCGTTTCTCAGCTCCTGTTTGGATTTCCTCATTTTTCAGCCTGAATTTTAAATTCTTTATCAGTCTGATATCGTGCACGTGTGTGTTTTACATGTGTGTATTATCGTGCACATGTGTGTATTATCGTTGTTCACATGTGTGTATTATCGTGCACATGTGTGTATTATCGTTGTTCACATGTGTGTATTATCGTGCACATGTGTGTATTACCGTGCACGTGGCTGCTCTTGTATCATGTTGTCGTTTTTGTGGCCCTCTTGATGGTGCCGAACTTTGTCCGATGTTTGTCTGTTTTCAGATTAGTTTGTAAATAAATTAGACGTCGATGCGGCTCCAGGAAAGACTTTAAAAACACGTTACAGAGACGTTAACTCATGTTTCAGGTGATAAAATCTTATTTTTTGTATTTAATGAACTTGTTTTCTGATTTCCCGGTGATTTTTGCTCGTCAGATTTCCTGACAAAGATGGAATTTATTTTACTGTTTGTTGGGTGTTTCCAGGAATCTCCACCAAACCAGCAGCAGATGATTGTAGAAGATTTGACTGTTAGAGAGGCAGGAAGGTGTGTGTGATTGGAGCTGGTTCTGTTTTTGTGGGTGTTTCTCAAAAACAAACTAAGACATTCTTGGTTAATGAGGTTTGTGGTTTTCACCCCGAGGTTCTGGTGGTTCACAGGTTTAATGTTTTAACAGTATAGTTGATTCACTCCTCCTCAGTGTGAAAATACAGTTTATGAACTTTTGTCTGTGATCGTATTAAAGTTTAGTGAGGGACAGTCAGTCTGTCAGAGGTTTGAGGTGTAAATAAAACTCCAAACAAAGACGGTTGTATCTGAAACATCAGGAGGGCGCGTCTTCATATGTGAGCGTTTAAATTTATGATGTAATCAGATTAGGAGGGAAAACCTCGAACCATCTGCAGCCTCCTGGAAAGAGGTCCAAGCTGAGGGAACATGGAGGACTCTGACTTCAAAATCTGATCTTTGGTGTTTCTTAATCATCAGTGAAGTTTTTTTCTTCAGCTCAGGGGAGAAGATCTTCATGATGGTTTATAAATCATGACGTTCAGCTCTTGTGAGTTTGGCATTAGAAGTCCGACTCGGCTCTTCTACTCACCAGTCGGACCCCTTTGGAGTTCTTGCGGTGGGTCTTGAGGTAATAACCAGCCACCAGCAGCGCAGCCAGTAGCAGACCAGTAAGCAGCAGCGCAACCAGAACCAGTTTGGAGTTCTTCCCCCAGCGAGGGACGGCCTCCTCCACGTCCGTCTGAAACAAATGAGAGCGAAACAGGTCATGAAGATTATCAGGAGGAACGTTTATCATCTGGAGACGATGAATCGGTCCAGTTTGACTGAGAGGCAGAAAGAAAACTATCCCGGCTGACTGAGGAGATCCACCTCCAGAACTTCAGGTTTCTGCTCACCTCCAGGCAGCGTGACAACAAAAGGGTGAATATGTGCAGAGAGAAGGACAATAAAGAGGAGAATATCGAGCAGAGTGAATAAAGAGAGAGACACGGAGGAGAAGAGAGTGACAGACACACCCACAGACTCTGACACTTGATAAAATGAGTTTCAGCTGAGAGGAGGAGGAGGAGGAGGAGGAGGAGGATGTTGTCTGTGGGTTTTTGTTTGTCACATAAACTTTTGGAGACGTCTGCAGATTCAGGGAGTGATTTCTTCTTCTCTCTCTGGAGTATTCTCTCGTCTGATTCGGTTATAAATCAACCGGTGTGGTTACAGAGGCGTGTGTGTTTCGTGGTTGTTACTGTTTTCGTCATTGGATGGACATTTTTTAGCCCCTGCAGACAGAGAGCACGGTGTGACGTTGGTGACTCCAGGGACAGACGGTTCAAGAGTCTTTTGAGTAATTGTCTCAGCAGGCTGATTAAAAAAATAAACAGCTGATGTCTGTTTATGGTTGAAAACAGCTACATATAAAATATAAAATATATCCAACCTGAAACTAACTTCACCGCCGTATTTACAGGAAAATATATCCAACCTGAAACTAACTTCACCGCCGTATTTACAGGAAAATATATCCAACCTGAAACTAACTTCACCGCCGTATTTACAGGAAAATATATCCAACCTGAAACTAACTTCACCGCCGTATTTACAGGAAAATATATCCAACCTGAAACTAACTTCACTGCCGTATTTACAGGAAAATATATCCAACCTGAAACTAACTTCACCGCTGTATTTACAGGAAAATATATCCAACCTGAAACTAACTTCACCGCCGTATTTACAGGAAAATATATCCAACCTGAAACTAACTTCACCGCCGTATTTACAGGAAAATATATCCAACCTGAAACTAACTTCACCGCCGTATTTACAGGAAAAAAAAACATTTGTTGATTTATTTATTTTTTTGACCCTAAATACATCTGACAGTTCACACACGTCTATTTTTAGTCGTAAATGTGAGTGAAACGGTCAAACTGTCGAGACGCGGTCTTACCTTATCTTTAATGTTGTCGTTGTTGAACTTGTTCGCCATCCCCGCCACATCATCTGCAAACAGGAAGTGAAGATAAATCTGAGTCTAGACTAGGAAGGCAGTTTTACAGCGATCACCAATTAAAACTAAACAGCACCTACCTTCAACGTACTTCCCAGACACGATGATTTCATCGGTGTCGTCCGCCTGGTAGATCTCCAGCTTACAGTCCTCGCCGCACAGCTCCTGAAGAACACTCTCAATCTTC